GAGGGGAGCAGCGGGCGGCAGGAGAGGTCTGCGCGCCATGTGGGACCCTCCTCCGGTGGCTGGGGAGCAGCTGGGGATCGAGCCGACGCTGCCAAGGCCGCGGGCAGCTTCGCAACCCAGCGCTCAACCGCTGCGCCACCGGGGAGGCCCCTCTCAATCTGTCTCTTAATAATTAGAGCTCTAATTTAAAATTTTCCTCAGCTATAAAATTACGCATGTGTAATAAAATGTTTTTCCTTTTTTTTGTCTCAACCTCAATTGGTCTTACACTAGCCAAGCAATTTTGAAATTTGTTTATAGTGTTATATTTGTGTGAATTCCACCTCTCTCCTTGCTGCCAGATTTCAGCCATACTTTTTTCCAGAAATTATTTCAAAAAATCTATGTATAAATCCTTTTGGGTTTTACTTTTATGATTTGTTAAACCAGTCTACAACTAACTATGCCCTTTCTTGAACTCATTATTCCCCAGTCCCGAAGCAAGATCCTTTTGAACTTTCTACCCAGTTCCTCATGAATTTTGAGTTTTTCCAGTTCAGCTGGTGGCAACAAGCACTATTCCTGATCTTAATTATTTTCCTCACAGTTATTTTCCTGCACTTTTGAGTACACTGCTCAATACTTAAGGGAGAATTTCTGCAGATCTCTAGAGTTCTTTCTCTGTGCAGCTTTCTACACCTAATTCACTACCCTCATCTGAAAACTCAAGCTGAAAAATATAAGATTCTTTGCTTCCACAGATTCTTAGTTCTATCTCCTCAGCTCAGGAAATCAATTGAGCTCTGCCTGGGTTCCTCCTCCCTGTGCCTCATCTTAGAAATTCTTTCAAGGTAGTTGGCAGGAGCAATAGTAGCGCTTGCCTTGTTTATTTTTCATCTCTCTGGGATCGCTGTCCTTTATTGCCTGATATCCAAAGTCTTGACACCATCATATATTGTGTCTGTTTTGTTGTTATTGTTGTTTTCTTTCTTTCATGTTTGGGGAGGGGGGAAACATGAAGGAGGAGTGATTTAAATCCAGTCTATTATACCATCTTTGTCAGAATCAGAAAGCTCATGTCCTTTAGATTTTCTGTTTCCTCTCTGTGGAATGGTCTACCCCAGATGTCTGTGTGGGCAATCCCCTTGTCTTCGCTCTCTGTTTAGTAGTTTATTTTTTTAGTTTTGGATACTGGCTATTATGAATGTTATGTAGTTGTAAACTCTGGCTTTTATTGTCTAGATTTAAAGGAGTAGTGAGTTTTATTTTAGCAACCATTTATGGTATCTGTGGATCAGCTTTGGAGGCTTGTTTGTTTGGTTTTTACTGAGATAATATTGGTTTACAACACTGTATATGATTTCATGCTTCTTCAGATGTGTGTTACCACCCCACCCCCACTAACAAAGTACCATAGTCTACCATAGTCCATTGGGCTTCCTTCCCCACTTTGCTCGCATGCCTTCAACCCTACCCCTGTGGTAGCCTCAATTTTCAGTCATTTTTCTAGGTTTTGGATTGGTTTATTTTGTCTGTTACTTTGTTTTCTTTCTTTATATTCCACCAAATTCTCTATATTGCACTGAGTGAAATGATTTGGAGGGGTTTTTTTTTAAGCTTTGATAGGATAGATTTATAGTAGTTTTGTTTTTTTTTTGTTTTTTTTTTTAAATAATTTCCTGTGTGATGGCTATTTCTTTTCTTTTTTTTTTTTTTTTTTTTAAGATTTATTTATTTATTTATACATATAAGCACTGGGTACAGTCAGAAGCGCGAGAGGGTGAGAGAATTCAGAAGAGCCAGAGCGGGGAGCAGAGCAGGCAGAAGGACCAAATTACACTGCTGAGGGGAGCAGCGGGCAGCAGGAAGGGTCTGCGCACCATGCGGGACCCTCCTCCGGTGGCCGGGGAGCAGCTGGGGATCGAACTGGCGCCACAGAGGCCGTGGGCAGCTTCGCAACCCAGCCCTCAACCACTGCGCCACCGGGGAGGCCCTATAGTAGTTTTGTTATAGGGCAGGGAGAGGGGTAGCCCAAACCCCGCAAACCTGCCTATTCTAAATGGGTTCTGCCATCCGCCGCATCAACACAAAACATATGAGACTTTAATGGGAAGGAACTTTAATAAAACTAGGAAACAATACAGGTAAGGCAGAGTCTAGTTTCTAAATGAAGCACCCAAAGTTACCCATCCCCTCGTGGGTAAAAGTCCATCCATATGGGAATGGCCCAGAGCAAGGCCCCAAAGCCTGCCACAAGTCTAAAGCACCTTCCAGTGGGGACCCATGGAAAAGGGTCAGAAACAACCAGACAAGCCCGGAAGGAAAAGAGCAAAATCAACATCAAGATAAAAGCTGCCATGGTCACCTCCCCACGGGTCTCACACACATCTGTGTCACCCAGTCCACGACCAAAAGACAAGCGCAGTTTCTTTACGTGTCTCTAGGCTCCACGCGCCTCCTCCAGGTCTCCTGGCTCCATCCTGTTTTCTTCCTCAGTCTCTTCTGCAGCTTCTCCTCTTCCTGCTCAGCTCCACCCTCCCTTGGGTGGGGCAGGGAACCTCCCCCTTTCCTGGGGACCACCCTGTTACAGTTTTTACTCTAGGGCTACTTGAGCTCAACTGTTTAAGGCATGACTTTTGAATGTGCCAGGTGATTAACCAGGTTTATTCACTCTGCTGCTCAAAAATTATAATGCCTGTCAGGCCTACATGAGCCCTGTGAATTGTTTAATTAACTGCTCTTAGTAGTTGTTCTTCTCCCGGACTCATGGAGCGGAACCCTTCTCATATAGAGCTTAGAATTCAGGGTGGCCCTAGATGATCCTGGGTAGATATGTGGAGCTCCTTCTTTGTGTAGCTCCCTTCTATGCCATAATCTGCCCTGAAAATTCTGGTCTCTTCAGCCTCCCCTCATCCTAATTTCTGTCTCCTGAACTCAGTGAGACTTCTGTTCATGTTCCTGTGTCACAATTCAGAAAGCTCCCCCAATTTGAAAGCTAGAGGTCATGCTTTTCTCAAGCATTACAATCCTTCACTATCTCTTGTGAAAATAGTTGTTTGGGGGGCTTCCCTAGTGGCACAAGGGGTTAAGCACAGCTCTGTGAAGCTAGCCACAACCTCTGCAGCGCAAGTTTAATCCCCAGCTGGTCAGGGAGCTACCCACATGGCACGGCAGACCTCTCCTGACTCACCCACTGCTCCCCTCAGCAATGTATTTCAGTCACTCTGCCTGTTCTGTTCCCCACTCTGTCTCTGTCTCTGGCCTGTGTCCCAGTTCTTGTATGCATAAACAAATAAATCTTTAAAAAAAAAAGAAAGAAAATAGTTGTTTGATATATTTTTCTAGTTTTTAAGCAAAGGGCAAGCCTAATATTAGTTACTTCATTGTGACCAGAAGCTGACATCTTCAACCTGATATTTTTAATAAACATCATACCTTTGCTCAGAACTGTTCACTGGCTCCTCATTTCTGGCAAGAAATCAAAATACAGTGGCCTGCAAGTCTTGATTTGCCTGCCTCGTTCCCTTTCTTTTCTCATATCATGGGTCTTCCCCTGCTTATTTCAGTCCCCCCATACTGAGTTTCTTGTTATTTCTGGCATCACCAGGCATGCTAAGGCCTCTTTAAACCAACCAAACCTCTTAAAGTAAAATTGTAATTGTGATGAGTTAAGGCTGTCTTCACTTTCTGGCAAAATACTTGTAACACAGTAAATGAAAGGGAACTGCTAAGAAAAAGAAATCTTTCCCTGTTAAAGAGTCATAGACCTGGAAATGTAAAGTAAATAATAAGTTTGCTTCCTTAATAAGCATGTCTAAACAAGGTCTGGCAGCCTGCTAGGCTGATTAATCTCCCAGGCCATCCTGGAAGATCGGTATCCTTCCCCTTTTCCTGAGTCAAGAATTTGTATGCTAACGAACCAACTTTATCAATGTAAAGTGGTTGAGTATAAAAGAAACTCTTTGTCTCTAGACCAGTTCTCAGACCTTATGGGACTACCCAGGTCTGAGACCTCATGCATGAGTAATAAAGCTTTCCTGACCTCACCATTCCTCAAGTACCACTTGTTCTTCCCCTGCCTGGGTAAAAAGCTAGAATTTATTTCTTCAACATATAGAAGTCTTAGATATATTTTAATAAAAATAGACTAAATTGGACAAAGTGAAAATGTTTTGGCTGTCAGAATTCCAAGAAAGGCTTAAATAACTAAACCATAAAGAGTAAGGATATAGGCAATAGTGTGTTGAATTCACTTGGGCTGACTCACAGTTGATGATTGTGTATATCTCCTCCCAATTCCATATTTAGTTACATCATATTGCTTCAGATGGACCATGCTAACGCCGTTTCCACCAGGAAGTCAGCAGACACTACAAAACCAGGCCTCCTCATTACCTACAGCCTACCCTAACCCCACACATTTACTTGTTAACCTGTTATTACCACATCACTGGATTTGAGCAGACATTAGGAATGACTGGTATCAGGGGCTCAGATGCCTCTGTTAAAAACCTGTCTTTCTAAAGGTTGACCTCTCTCAGGGAAGACTGGCTTTCTCTGTATGGTGAGATAGTTGTCCCCTGCTACTTGACAAGTATTACATATTATCACATACTCTGATGCCACAGAGAAACTCACTTTCTCTTTTGCAGTTTCAAAAATACTAGAGAAGGTCTCTGGTTAGATACCCACCTCTTAGCAGTCAGTTCAGTGGTCGGGAAAGAGGGTTGAAAGGGATTGAGGGGTTCATGGAACCCAGAGTGCCACATGAATAGGAATCTGTTTTCCAGGGGACAGAAAAAGGACAGTGCACAGCAGGTAGTTCGCTGATGTTTACTATGCCTGTTAAAAAATAAAATGCAGCTAAATTGGGATGCAGTTATTTCAGAAATAGCACTACATATTTGGAGTTAATTTTAAACATGTTGAAAAACCATAGTTTTGTAACATTTTAGATAAAACAACTATTTTTTAACGTGTAAGTCTTAGAGTAAGTCTTTTAAAATGTGCTTTTTGTTTAGGGTTTGAACTACAGTTTCGACTAGGCCCAACTTTACAAGGAAAAGCAGTTACTGTATATACAAATTATCCATTTCCTGGAGAAACATTTAATCGAGAAAAATTCCATTCCCTGGAATGGGAAAACCCAACAGGAAGAGAAGATGATTCTGACAAGTACTGTAAACTTCATCTTCAACAGGCTGGGTCATTTCAGTATTACTTCCTTCAAGGGTAAGTCAAGTGTTCTGTATGTGAAAGATAAAAAGTTAATTTATTCTATAACTTCATATTTAACTAATGTGTGTAGATTACTGTGTGAACCATGGCAGTGTAGTTTTTACAGGACTTTCTTGAGATGCAAATAGAATATGTTTATTCTTTTTCTAAACTGAAACTGTTAAGGCTCATTGCAGACTCAAAGTAGTAGTATTTTTCTAGGTAGTGGCTTTTTGCCTTTTGTAGTCATTTGTAGACATTTCTTGTAACCTGATTATAGGGTGCTATTCATTTAAGTACCCTTGTTATTACTGATAGATTTTTGTATACTTGTCATTATATCAACATTTTTAGATTTTTTTTTAAAGATTTATTTATTTATTTATACAAGCACTGGGTACAGTCAGAAGCGCGAGAGGGTGAGAGAATTCACCAGAGCCAGAGCGGGGAGCAGAGCAGGCAGAAGGACCGAAGTACACTGCTGAGGGGAGCAGCGGGCAGCAGGAGAGATTTGCGCGCCATGTGGGACCCTCCTCAGGTGGCCAGGGAGCAGCCGGGGATCGAACTGGCGCTGCAGAGGCTGTGGGCAGCTTCACAACCCAGCGCTCAACCGCTGCGCCACCAGGGAGGCCCATTTTTAGATATTTTATATGTTATATAATTATGTAGAGTTTGGAAAGGACAAAACATGGCTTTTCTATTAAGCTTTGCTGCAACTTTTTAAGTGATTTTAAATTCTTAGAAATAAATACATTTCTAAATGGGACATTCACCTTTCAGTTAGATTACTAGACTACTAGGTGAGGACTCTTCTTATTCTGTATTAATTGAAAGGTTTATTTGTTTTTTCTCTTAGAAATGAGAAAAGTGGCGGGGGTTACATAGTTGTGGATCCTGTTTTACGTATTGGTGCTGATAACCATGTGTTACCCTTGGACTGTGTTACTCTCCAGACTTATTTAGCTAAGTGTTTGGGACCCTTTGATGAATGGGAAAGCAGACTTAGGGTTGCAAAAGAATCAGGTAATGTCAACTTTCTTTTCCTTTTCCCTTCTTTTTAAAGATAAATAATTCTTCTTTGTGATACAGATTTCAAAACTTTGATTCTCCTTTATAATTTTGTGTATTTAGTAATAGAATCATATGAAATTATTGATATTGACCATATTTAATCTACAAAAACGGCAACTTATATGGTTCACCTTAATAAATTAAGGAATTCTTTCATAAAATAAGATAGTTATTGTTTCTAAGATTTCTAATATAAAAATTTATAGTAAACTATTAAATGTGATGGGAAATGTATCATTATGTATACTTTTAGTTCAACAAACGTAGATTATCTTCCTTGTGGTAGGCGTGTGCTGTCATACATACCAAGAATAAAATAAAACAAGTTATGTTTTACTCTTAAATAAAGGATAATATTAATTTTATACTTTCAATTTTAAAATAGTGATATAGACACTATTATTATGGTGTAGCCATAAGAAAGAAGTGGGAAGTTCACTGATGTAACTAAAACAGAGTGAAAGTACTGTGGACATTAAAAGTAAGAGAAAGGGCTACTGATTTACTTGCATAGAATATATTTTCTACGTGTAAATATACCCATTCAACAAATATAAATTGAACCCTTAATAGTAACAAAGCACTGTGTGATTGTTTTTCCAAATACATATCTCACCTTTCCTGTCTTATATAGGAGGACACTGATATCCTGAATGATTTAAGTAGATTTCTTTAAAGTCACTACAGTACAGCTAGGGTTTTAACCCAATTCTTTGACTTCTCTTCTAGTAGCACATTTACCTGGCTACCCAGAATTACTTAAGAAAGTTTAAATTTTTATTTTGCGTAATTTTAGGTTTTTTGGGTTTTTTTTTTTTTTTTTTTTTTTTTCATTTTCTTACAGTGATCTTTGATTTCTTGTGTTGCAGGTTACAACATGATTCATTTTACCCCATTACAGACGCTTGGACTGTCTAGGTCATGTTATTCCCTTGCTGATCAGTTAGAATTAAATCCTGATTTTTCAAGACCTAATGAAAAGTATACCTGGAATGATGTTGGACAGCTAGTGGAAAAATTGAAAAAGGAGTGGAATATTCTTTGTATTACTGATGTCGTCTACAATCATACTGGTATGAGCTTCACTAACTTTCTATTAATTTTGGTGAGAATGTTGTATTCTGATTATTTCATTTCCTGTTATTTTATATAACAAGAATTTTGAAAAAGCTAATGATATTTAGGTGTCCTACACTTTAAATTCAGTTTCTCTGATATGGTAAAATTTTCTTTCAAAGAAAACAAAGATATGGTTATTATATAACTAATTTCCACATGACACCTATAGAAACAGGAAAGTGATCATTATCAGGGACATAATGATCACATAGTTTAATTTACAGTACTAATACTTTTTAGTCCAGATAACAAATAATACCAGGGCAGCACCTTTGTCACTATGGCATATATGAACAGAACAGAATGACTTATTTAGAAAGAAGATTCTTGGAAACTCCTAGAACTTAAATCTGAAAGTTACATCTTTTACATGTTAAAAGAGCTTATTAAATGTAACCTGTTTTGGATCTCAAGATTCCTCACTAATACATATAATTCTACAAAATAATTTAGAACTTACCATCTAGTGATCCTCACCTGTCAGAGAAACTAGATAGGCCTGGAGAAACCTCTGTTCATGATCAGCTTTCAATTTACTACAGTATATCTGACAAATACTATCTTCAGTGTATGCCACAATGTAAAAAAAAATCTTAGAATCTCTAATTTACATACATAAATAACAGTAATTTTGAGTGGTACCAATCATTTAACAATAACAGAAACATTTCTGATCTTTTATAAAGGAGTTTCCCAAGTAATCCTGGGAACTCTGAAGCTATTTAAAAGCTCCATGAGCACAGGGACCTCGCTCACTTGCTATAGAATAACCCAGCTTCCAAAACAGTGCCTGGAATATCTCACATTTTCAACAAAGATATATGTAGACATATGATCAGATTTTTGGTTAACATACTGCATACTGCCCTCCAGCACTGCTGTCCATCAGGTACTAAATGTCATGATTAGGAGGCTTGGAGTCATCTCTGGATTGCTGGATGCAGAATAGTTTGCAGTGGGAAAGGAATGAGTGGGGAAAAAGTAGAAACAACAGATATAGGTTGTGTTTTCAGGATGTCTGGTCCTAATACTAATAGACTATGTAGAGTTAGAGAAACCACACTAGACACAATATGTGTTTGTATTCTTAGCTTTGGAGAGATACAAGTATATTTAAAGGTCCAGAGGACGGAATCTCTACCCTTGCCACCTCCCCACCAAACACACACACGTGAAGAAATTCCTGTGTAGGTAAACAGGTATAAATGACATTTTTAAGTCCTAAGACAGGTAAGAGAACCTAGAGTTTAGGTGGGACTGAAGAAGTGTCCTCTCATTCAATGCGTAAGTAAGAAAAATGAAGCACCTGGGGAAATAAATGGAAAAGGAGAGCTATTCTGCCCTAGAACCTAAAAGCCAGTCAGTGGCTAGCTTAACCCAGAGTGTAAGACACAGTTAACTTTCTGCTTTAAAACAAGGCCACCTGCCTATATGTCCTTCGGTCTAAGAAGGAGCATTTCAGAACAGGTCAGGGACAAGACCCTTAACTCCTATACAAAAGTAAAGTTATTACTACAATGGCATAAGGAAATCAGTGTTGCTTGCTGTCTACCATCATTAAATTTCCTACAACAGAAAAGAAAAATGTATGGTACAGTGGGTGACAGAATATTACAACCAAAGAAAATTTTTTCATATTGGAATATCATTATAAACTACTGAACTACTGATATCAAATATATATATATATATATATAAGGAAATAGTGATAGGTTTTATTTTATTCCACCTCAAGACTTAACATAGATACTTACTTCAATTTAATTATAGGATCTTTCTCTGTCTCCTTTTTCTTTAAGCTACTAATAGTAAATGGATCCAGGAACATCCAGAATGTGCATATAACCTTGTGAATTCTCCACACTTAAAGCCTGCCTGGGTCTTAGACAGAGCCTTTTGGCACTTATCCTGTGACATTGCAGAAGGGAAATACAAAGAAAAAGGAGTGCCTGCATTAATTGAAAATGACCATCAAATGAATGTCAGTATGTATAGAGGAGTACCACACTAAAGCATAACAAAATTTTGTTAATTGTGCAGTTTCTGTGTTTTAGTATTGTAAGTAATATTTAGGAAAAAAATTTAAATATTTTTTTTAATTATTGAAATTTTTCAGTGCATTCGAAAAATAATTTGGGAGGATGTTTATCCAAAGATTCAACTCTGGGAATTTTTCCAAGTAGATGTTCACAAAGCAGTTGAACAATTTAGAGGACTTCTGACTCAAGGTAAAGGATATGCATAGTCCGGTCTTATCAATTTTAAGTGTAATATTGTCTTAAAGGGTTAATCCTTTTCTCTTGGTTAACATATCATTAAATCTGTTATTACATGTTATTTAGGTTATTTTTGATCCTCTGAAACTCTGATTTTGTAGTTTCTACAATCTGAAAAATATACTGGTTACCCAGAGGTAATCAGGGGCAATGGGTAGAGGAAAGACCATGGGTTGTGGCACTGGAAATTTGGTGAAGGGTAAGTGAGCTATGTGTACATGTGGAGGTGTGAGGTTGTATTCCCAAAATTATATAGGTATGTATGTAGGTGGAAAATCAGTAAAATTTCAGGGAAAAAAAAATCAACCTGATCCTGGAAGCTGAGAGCTGTAGTAGATACATGTAGAGGACATTTTATGGTTTCTATAAACTATTATGTTGCTTTTTCAACACAAGTTGTGCCAATTTACATCATCACAAACTACCCTCACCAATAATAGGTACCATTCATTTTTTAATCTTTGTCAATCAGACAAACATTCCTTATTTTAATTTATAACTCTTATTAGTAAAACATCTTTTATTAGCTATTTATATTTCTTCCATTAGTTGCCTATTAATGTTCTTTCCCCATTTAACGGGGTTGTTTATCTTATTCATATTGACCTATTGGTGATTTCTCTTTTTTAAGTATTTTTTTATTGAGGCAACTTTAGTTTACAACACTATTTGTGATATAGTGTTACAGGATCATTCCCTTCAGGTGTAAGCTACCCCACTACACCCACCACCAAGGAATTGATATGATACATATACCTTTAATATTTTGAAAAATCTGAGTTCTGTTTTTCTTAGGGGCTGGAACAGACTACATTCCTACCAATAGTGTAGAATGGTTCCTCATCTCCACATCCTTGTAACACTGTTGTTTCTGGTCTTTTTGATATGGACCATTCTCACAGTTGTGAAGTAGTATCATATTGTGGTTTTGATTTGTATTTCTATGATGATAAGTGATGATACAAATTTTTTTCATGTGCCTATTGGTCCTGTTGGTCCTCCTTGGAAATGTGTCTGTTTAGCTCATCTGCTTATTTTTTTATTGGATTATTTGTTATTTAGAGTTCTTTGTAGATCTTAACTATCATATATGCATGATGTACAAATATTTTCTTCCATTCAGTAGGGTATCTCTTTGTTTTAGTGATCATTTCTTTTATTAGGCAGAAGCTTTTTGGTTTGTTGTCCCAGTTATTTATTTATAAGCTGTCTTCTCTTGCTGTTGGAGACAAATCCACAAGGACATCACTGAAGCCTATGTGATGGAGTTCTTTGCCTATGCCCAGGTCTTACGTCCAAGTTTTTTTTATCCATTTTGAGTTAATTTTTGTATATGGTGTGAGACAATTGTCTAATTTCATTCATTTGTATTTGGCTGTCCAGTTTTGCTAATACCATTTATTGAAAAGACTTTCCATCCTCCAGTGTATACTCTTTACTTTCAGTGTAAGTGTGGGTTTATTTCTGGACCCTCAAGTCTGTTCCATTGGTCTGTGTGTCTCATTTTGTTCCAGTGCCACCCTGTTTTGATTATTATAGCTTTGTGGTATAGTTTGAATTATGGATACCACCATTCTTCCTTTTTTGTCAGGATTTCTTTCACTATTTGTGGTATTTTATGCTTCCATGTGAATTTCAGTAATATTTGTTATGTTTCTTTAGAAAATACCATTGAAACTTCCATAGGGATAGCATAGAATCTGTGCAATGGGTAGTAGGGATGTAGCCAGTGGTAGAGCTCAGACTTTGACTCTGTATATTGCTTTGGGTAAGGTGGCCATTCTTCCAATTTAAAGCAGAGAATATCTTTCCATTTCTTTGTATCTTTTTCTTTTTCTTTTGGCAGTGTCTTATAGTTTGCGTTGTATTGGTCCTTTACCTCCTGTGTAAGTTTAATCTTCAGTATTTAAATCTTTTCAGTGGGATTGTTTTCTTGATTTCTTGCTCTTCTAGCTCATTGTTTGCAAATAAGAACACAACTGATATTTGTAAATTAATTTATTTACCTACCACTATGTGCTGGTTTTTTTCTTTCAATTAGTTTTTTAGTGAAATCTTTAGGCTATTCTATGTGTATTATCATATCATCTGCAAATAATGATAGCTTCACTTCTTCTATCTCAATTTGGATTCTCTTTATATCTTTCTCTTCCTAATTGCTCTAACTAGGACTTCAATCCTATGTTAAATAGTAATAGTAAAAGTGGACATCCTTTTCTTGTACCAGATTTTAGTGGAAAAGCTTACAGTTTTTCACCATTGAGAATGTTAGCTGTAGGTTTATCATAAATGGCCTTTCTTCTGCAATACTATTTTCTCTAGTCAGTCTCTTGCTTTCCCTCCAATGTGTGTGTGTGTGTGTGTGCGCGCGCACATGTACACGTGTGTGTTTTAGGTGGTGTGAGGAAGGACACTTATGAAATAAACATTTGTTTCATTTTCCATGAAAAATTTAATGCAAAATATTAGGAACCAGTAACAGTTGTAATCTTCTTGTGGATATTTTCATTAAGATATCTTTTCCTTTTTTCAGGAAATAGGAAAATAATAACCAAACCTGACCCAGAGCAACACCTTAAGATTATTCAAGATCCTGACTATAAACGACTTGGCTGTACTGTAGACATGAACATTGCATTAGCAACTTTCATACCACATGAGTATGTTTTGTATCTTTCCTATGAAATGAATATATTACTTATAAACCTTTCTGGGTATTCATGTTTTCACAGTTTATTAAAAGCCTGGAGAATGAACTGAGATGATTCACCATAATTCTACTATTTCAAACACATGACGTGTTCTCCCTTTTTCTGTGTAATGTTCTGTACATGTTCCCATACATATGTGTAAAAACTTTTAAAATTGGAAAATTTCCTTAGCATAACTGAAGTCCTAATAATGGTATTTAAAGCCTTGGTGACTTTCATTAGAAAATTCTTAGATATAGAATTCGGTAAACCATTAAGTATTAAATTTGTATTGCTCTGTCTTCTCTAGCAGTGGAACAGCCGCCATCGATGAATGCTGTAATTGGTTCCGTAAGAGAATTGAGGAATTGAATTCAGAGAAGTGTCAAGTCATGAACTATCATCAGGAACAGGTTTTACCTATTTTTGAACTATTATTTACCTTTGAGTCCTAATACTGGATTTTTGTTGTTGTTACTATAACATAATTTAATGTTTTCTAGGCAGTGAATTGCCTTTTGGGAAATGTGTTTTATGAACGACTGGCCGGCCATGGTCCTAAACTAGGACCTGTCACTAGAAAATATCCTTTAGTGACCAGGTATTCCATTTTTGTTTTCTTCTCATGAAAGGCTAAAAATTGAAGATTGTATTTAACTTTTCAAATTAACCTAAATGGTCCTTTAATGCATAACTTCAATGTATTTACTAAATTGAAATAGAGGTTTTGATTTGTTCATTTTTTTAGGCAAGTCTTTAGTTTGAGAAATTGCTGTCAGTATGAACAAATTTATAATTATTTGCATTAATATTTCTGCAAATTTATTAATAAATATGATGTTAGTCAAAGTGAGCAAGTATTTAGATCCTTCCTTTATAAGTAAATACAGCATAGATTAGATAATTCAGTGTATAAAAGCCTTTGTAAAGAACTTAGTAATTAATCACTTTTAAAGATTTATAAATGGCCTCTCCTATGGCGCAGCAGGTTGAGCGCTGTGAAGCTGTCCGCAGCCTCTGCAGCACGGGTTCGATTCCTGGTCAGCAAGGGAGATTCCCACATAGCGTGGCAGACCTCTCTTGTGGCTCCCGCTGCTCCCCTCAGCAGTGTATTTCAGTCAGTCTGCCTGTTCTGCTCCTCACTCTGTCTCTGGTGAATCCTCTCACCCTCCCATGCCTCTGGCCTGTACCACAGCTCTTGTATAAAAATAAATAAATCTTTAAATAAATAAATAAATAAATAAATATTTGTATAGTTATTATTTAAAATATCCATTAACTGGATGTTCTCTAGGCTAACTCTCAGAATCTATTAGAGTTACTCGAAAAGTCTACTGATTTTTTTTAAATATTTATTTATTTATGCATGCAAGAATTGGAGTACAGGCCTGAGGTGCAGGGAGTGGTGAGAGGATTCACCAGAGACAGAACAGAACAGGGAGACTGACTGAAATACACTGCTGAGGAGAGCAGCAGGCGAAACAGGAAAGGTCTGCTGCGCCATATGGGTATCTCCCTGGCCAGCTGGGGATCAAATTCGTGCTGCAGAGGCTGTGGACAACTTCATAGTGCAGTGTTTAACCCCTTACGCCACCAGGGAGGCCCTTCTGATGATTTTTTACCTATATTAGAGTTCAGGGCCTCCCTGGTGGCGCAGTGGTTGAGCACTGTGCTGCGAAGCTGCCCACAGCCTCTGCAGCGCATTTACTAGTAGTGAAGTTAAACTAATTTTATGTATTCTTTTCATTATATAGAAAGTTTAATTTTAACACTGCTAATTCAAATTCTCCCCAAGGAGTTAGTCTATAGGTATTTAATATTAAATTGTATCTTCATAGATATTTTACTTTCCCATTTGAAGAAATGACTCTCTCTGCAGAAGAATCTTTGATTCATCTCCCAAATAAGGCTTGCTTTCTGATGGCACATAATGGATGGGTAATGGGAGATGATCCTCTTCGAAACTTTGCTGAACCAGGTATGTCATTTTAGTTAACTTTTCTGTGGATAGGGAAAGAAAGCTTGATAGCAAGTTCAAAACAGAAACTGTTTATTTTTTCCCCCAGCTAGGCTATTTATTTTTAAACTATTTCATCACAGAGTTGTATACAGCTTGAGAGCAAGGAGGCTGGGTAAAAGAATGAGATTCATCTTCTCCTTTCCTTTCATTTCTTTTCCTACCCCTTATGTCTTCAAACAGAATAGCTTTTAAATATCTATTTTATTTGGTGGTTTTTAAAAGAGTCTATTAGCTAAATTATTAGCAAAATAGATGAGTTACAAATAAACATTGAGTTTTTAAAAAATATCCATTCCATAATTTTAATCACTATATGATTTGTGGTAGAAATGGTCGATGTGATTTTAAAAAGAAATGTTTCATTGAAGTAATTGTTTTCATTTTATTTCTTGAACCACTGAAAGCAAGCCCTTTTCTTAACAGGTTCAGAAGTTTACCTAAGGAGAGAACTTATTTGCTGGGGAGACAGTGTTAAATTACGCTATGGGAATAAACCAGAGGACTGTCCTTATCTCTGGGCACACATGAAAAAATACACAGAAATAACTGCGACTTATTTCCAGGGAGTACGCCTGGATAACTGCCACTCAACACCTCTGCATGTAGCCGAGGTACAGAAAAACAACTCAGCTCTACTAAGAAATTCAGTATTTTTCGCTAGCTTTCTTTAAATGGGGTATACAGATATATATTTCCTTTTGCTAGTCGAATAACAGCATTGATATGATGGTAGCACTTAAATTTGCATAATTTGCATAATTCTAATATAATCTTTCAGTACTATGGTTATGAAATACTGGGTTATGAAATGTTTAAAAAGTTAATATTTTAGTTTAGGGAAGTAGATCATACTGTCTCTGAAATTATATTGACATATATTAAAATATTGTTAATAGATTAATATTGTAAACATTTTAATAATACATAGATATTAAAGTCTTATTCTGATAATTTTTGGGCTGCTTTCAGTATGTTAGTAGACTCTGTGAGGTTGAGTAACTTAATACACATGAGAGTGATCGTTTAAACACTAACATTACAGTACAGTGGAGCTATTTTTTAGCCTCACCGATTGAATTTTTATTAATTTACTAAAATATAAGTAAATACAAAGATTATCTGTCCCTCTTTGGGTTTTTGACAATAATTCTGAAGCAATGCCAGCATTTATAGCATTATCTTCTACCTAATACAGCTTTGTAAAGACAATTTTCATTCTGTTTATAACTTCCTAGTGAGAACTTAGTATTCTGTGGAACTTCCCCTTATTTGAAAATATTTATTTTTGTAAATTTAAATAGGCATTATAATATATATATTTCAAGTCCTATGTTAAAAAATGTATTTGATTTGAAGGAATATAGTGAATATTAATCAAAATGGCAGAACATTTTTAGCTCCAAAAATGACAGAGGTTTTTCTTTTTTGTTGTTGTTGTGACTTTACCAACAGCAAAAATATATATTCTTATAAGATATTACATTATGACAAACAGAATATGAGAACTTAAATTGCTTAACTTTGTTATAAGGTCCTCTAGAATCCTAATTTTTAGCTGATAGAATTTGAAGTATTTTTCAAGCTTTCGTATAAGCATTAGGCTAAAAATATTTTTGTGAACTGACCTGATTTCTGATTAAGAGTTTATTATCATCTATAAGAAAACCTGGCTTCAGTCTAGTCAATCAGACATAATCTTTGCTGTAGCTAAATGATTCACAGGCAGGGAATTTATCAAGAATGGTTTAGTCAACTGCCTGAAAATTAGTAGTCTGATTACAGTGATTAAAAACAAACACATAAAATAATGAGAAAGCCTAGTAGAGTAGGAGTGTTATGTTTTATATTTTTTAATGTAACATTAACATTTTTCTTCTTTTCCCTCCTTTTTCCTTTGTATGTATATCCTTGCAAAATCTAATTTTGCTTTTTTAACTGTGCTATTCTCTATACATTCTCTTGTTTTCTGTGCACATTGGTATGTTTCATATTTTCTTACACATGTACAATTTATGTGAAATTACTTCTTGAACTTCCAATTTGTCTCGCTACGTATTTTCCTATGTCAAATCCATGCCTAGTCTTGCCTCCTCTCCTTCCCCCCATCTTGCTTTTCTCTTTCTGTTACATCTGTGACTGTGCTTTTTGCAGTACATGTTAGATGCTGCTAGGAAATTGCAACCCAATTTATATGTAGTAGCTGAACTGTTCACAGGAAGTGAAGACTTGGACAATATCTTTGTTACTAGACTGGGCATTAGTTCCTTAATAAGAGGTAGGCTTGTTGAAATGATTTTCCCATCTAAACCTTAGCCTTTGTTTAATTAGAATAAAAAAATTTAAAAGCTTTATATACAATATTTAATAATTTTCAACATAGTTGATATTCTATGAAATTCCATACAAAATTTTCTCATTTAACAAATAATCTGTCAATAGTTAAACTTTCCATTCTGGGGTGGGTAATAAATCTCATTTCAAATTGAAATAGCAATGAGACGAATTGATAACTCATATCCAAAACAATCTTTTGGTTGAAAATATATAAATTTTTTTTTCATCTCCTGCCTGTATATATGATATAATCTTTAGGTTTTTTCCCATAGATTTTATATAGTCAGCATGCTAATAAACAACATGTTCCCTTTTACCTTTCTGAGCCATTTCTCTGGTTAATTTATAGACTTTCTTGTCACTTAAGCGAACAGGCATTTGTTTAAATATTTCAAACAGTTTTCATTTTTGATATTTATGTGGTCATGATAAGAAATTCGACCTCTTCTTCGACATTACTAATAAAGGTTGCTAAAATAGTCTGTCATGTTTTGTAGAGGCAATGAGTGCATATAATAGTCATGAAGAAGGCAGATTAGTTTACCGCTACGGAGGAGAACCTGTTGGATCTTTTGTTCAGCCTTGTCTGAGGCCTCTAATTCCAGCTATTGCACACGCCCTGTTTATGGATATTACCCATGATAATGAGTGTCCTATTGTGGTAAGCATGTAATCTGTTTCTACTTATTTGATGTCTGTGAAATAATGTCCCTATACTTCAAAGTATTGCCTTTGATTTATAAGTGTGGCACATGTGGCACATAGTTTTTAGAATGTTTTCTCATTTGTTTTAAAGCAAATTAATGTAGCCTATAGAATATATTCATATAATTATCCTCTGACTTCATTATACAGTGGGGTGGCACTTTGCATTTGAAAGAAAATAACCTTTGTTGATGTCATTATTTTCTAGCATAGATCAGCATACGATGCACTCCCAAGTGCCACAGTTGTCTCTATGGCGTGTTGTGCTAGTGGAAGTACTAAAGGCTATGATGAATTAGTGCCTCATCAGGTTTGTTTGTGTTGTTTTTTTAAATGCACATGGCCAACTTTGAACATTTTTACCAGAAGGTCTTCTTGTAATTAAAATGTATACATGACTAAGTTTTAACTTTGTTCAGATTTCAGTGGTTTCTGAAGAACGGTTTTATACTAAGTGGAATCCTGGAGCCTCACCATCAAATACAGGTGAAGTTAATTTCCGGAGTGGAATTATTGCAGCCAGGTGTGCTATCAATAAACTTCATCAAGAGCTTGGGGCCAAGGGTTTTATTCAGGCAAGAAACCAAATTGTCTAAATTTCTTAAGATTCAATTTCAGAATAAGTCTTCCAGTTTGAACGCTGTTTTCTTTCTGTTTCTCAGGTGTATGTGGATCAGGTTGATGAAGACATAGTGGCGGTGACAAGACACTCACCTAGTATCCATCAGTCTGTGGTAGCTGTAGCTAGAACTGCTTTCAGGAATCCCAAGACTTCATTTTACCCCAAGGAAGTGCCTCAAATGTGCATCCCTGGTAATACAATCTGAAATTACTAAGATTATACTATACTATTATATTAGATTATACTGTCATAGTACATTGTTCCTGTATATTACAATACAATGCAAGTCTAAATGAAGTTGAAAAAAAAGAATTTTTAAATTTTTCATAACTTATCTAAGTTTTCCATGTAAGTTCACAGATGCATTTTCAGAATTTTCCAAGTGCAGTTTCTCCAGAGTTATAGGGAGGGAGTAGTGCTTTTCTACTCTTTGTCTTCACATGAGGCCCTGTCCTGGATCACCCCAGCACTTTTGCAGGTCTCTCCCCATGGTTAGGTCCACACTGAGCAACTCTGCCCTTCCCAGGACTTCTCTATCATGAAAGCAGTATATGAATCAGTGTGTGCGCCTGCACCTCTTTCCAACCACCTTTATTGTTTAGAGTTAAATTTCCTTAGTGTCTCTTCTGTTGCGTGTGGTGATTCTTGGTCTCCAGTGGCCTGGAGGTGCTCTAGTTTTGCCCAAGTCACAGGATCCTCTGAGTCCAGTGCTTTCCTGGACTATTTTATTTTATTCGCCTGGGAGCAAAGCAGTGAACCTGCTCTGATGCCATCTTCCTTCTTGATCAACCAGTTTTGTATTCTTTTATTAACTGACATGTCATATTCAATTTTAAATTATATAGAACCCCTTTAGCAATTCCTGATTTCTCATGGTTTAATATAACATTTTGTTTAAAATTTTGTATACTCCTAGGCAAAATTGAAGAAGTAGTTCTTGAAGCTAGAACTACAGAGAGAGATGTAAAACCTTATCGGAAGGATGAGAAATCAATCAATGGAATGCCAAATATCACAGTTGAAATTAGAGAACATATTCAGGTATTTATAGACTTTCATCTTAAAATTTTTAAGGACATTAGAATTATTTTGTTCTATGATTTTATGAATTTTTTTTTAAGCTTAATGAAAGTAAAATTGTTAAACAAGCTGGAGTTGCCACCAAAGGATTGAATGAATATATTCAAGAAATTGAATTTGAAAACTTGTCTCCAGGAGGTGTTATTATCTTCAGGTATGTAATTAGAGTTCAACTAATCATTTTACTTATATTTAAAACAGTTCACTTATCCTGCTCATTTTGAATAAATTACTCCTAAAAATTAACTATTTTTTAATTAACATTTTCAGAGTTAGTCTTGATCCACATGCACAAGTTGCTGTTGGAATTCTTCGAAACCATCTGATACAGTTCAGTCCTCATTTTAAATCTGGGAGCCTTGTTGTTGAAAACACAGATCCTATATTAAAAATTCCCTTTGCTTCGTAAGTATGCATTAATTTTAGATTTGACACTTTCATAGCTGTTAAGTTACTCTAGCCTGATCCAAGCTATTAAAGGGTCCTCTATATCCTTGTTATTAAAAGGATTTCCCTTGGGCCAGCAATATATGCAGCAGCTATCAGCAGCTATCATTAACTTTTTGCCCTCTTGTTTTAAATCACTTGTATGTATATTTTCATACTTTCTCTCTCCCACTTAAACACATTTTCTATATGTAGATACATATATACACATACACACCTATTAATGTATCTATATACATGTATAGTTTTTTGAACTACTTGAAACTGAGTTTCATGCATCTTTCTCCACACATTTTTTTAATGCTAAAGTATATTCTATTATGTGCTATACCATCATTTATTTAATCAGTCCCCATTTGCATAAGTCTTTATTCCATTGCTAATATACTTCTATATAATTCTATTACTAATTATACTATATTGAAGAATATAGGTTTTGAGATTTAGAGCTGTGTTTAATTCCAGTTTTAATATTGTCATTGTGATCCTAGATGAATTATTTAGACTCTTATCTCAGAAAATGGAAAATGGGTCTTAGACTATTACCTACCTCTTAGGTTTTGTAAGGATTAGAGCATAGAGCATGGAGCCAGACTACCTGGGTGTGAATTCAATTTTGGATTCTTATTAGCTATGAGAAAGAAAGCCCGGGCAATATACCTAAAGATATAATTATAGTGCCTCTCACAGTTATGAGAATTACTTATGTAAAACACTTAGAACAGTGTTTCACATACAATGTTTGACCAACCTGAAGGCAGTACAGCCTTAGGAGAAAAGGAAAAAGGAGAGAAATACAAAGACAGAATACTATATGATTTCTAAGATGACTGTGACTTTTGATTCTCCTTTTTCTCATTCTTTCTTAGTTTTTTTGAGTTAAGATAATTAGCATAGATGTCCCACATAGGAGAACATAAGGAAGGAGAAAAAGCTAAGTCCAATCTAGAAAGATTGGAAAAGTAAATTCATAAGATAAAGGATATAGCAACCAAACTACTTGAAGTAGTTTTTCTGGAGTACTTCTGATTACTAAAATTTGGCACTGATTATTTCCTTGATGTGGAAAAAATGTTACTTTAGTTGATTATTAAGTACACATTGTCCTTTAATTGTTATTTATATATATTGTTTATATTGTTTATTAAAATGCTAATTTCCTAAAACATACACTGCTAAGACATTTTATGGTTATGATTCAGATTTTACACTTTATTCTTTTTGACAGCAAGTGACACAGTATTTACCAATTCTCTTTATTTTCCATTTCTTAGTATTGCCTCTAAGTTAACTTTGGCTGAGCTAAATCAGGTACTTTACCGATGTGAATCAGAAGAACAAGAAGATGGTGGCGGATGCTATAATATACCAAACTGGTCATCTCTTAAATATGCAGGTCTTCAAGGTAGGCAAGTATAAGAATAGTTAAGCTATTGAGATTTTTATTTTTAGGGTCATGTGGTAGCTTCTTTATAGAAATAGGAGTGTGGGCTCAGAGTTTAACTTCTTAGGTTCAAATTAGAGCTCTACCCTTTGGAATTCTTTCTTTAACAAAAGAAAAGGATATGTGTTTACGATACCATTGGGTTCTGGGAAGGGATGCAGACATTTCCAGCAGGCAGACACTGGGGAAAATGGGAAAAGAGTCCTAGACTGGACACAATCCGCAATTGTGGACACAATCTGCAATCTTCTCTGCAGGGAAAGTGGGCAGGGCCCTGGGGAGGGAAGCAGCAGGGAAGGGGCTTATTGATTAACCTCTGGCAAGTGATTTAACTTCTCTGTGCCCCAATTTCTGTCTCTATAAAATATGAATATTTTCATAATTTCATAAAATAAGAAATTTGTTTCATAATATAAAACTAGACACAATAATATGCCTATTTTGTAGAAATTTTTAAAGATTAAATGAGATAATTCACTTGGTCCTCAAATGGGTCTTAGTTGTAAGTATAATTTATTCATCTTCTTAGAAATTTTTTTTATTGTATATTTGTTTTATCCTATGAAGAGCACTTACAGGGAAATGTTACATAAAGTTATGAGATACAGGAACTTAATATTTAACTGTCAGTTCAATCCATAAGCTTGGTAGTATTTTCTTATACTTTTATCTAAGAAATTCAGCTTATCACACTTGTATTCCTGGTTTTCATATTATTTCCCACATATTATGTCTCCTTTTCAACTCCATCTTATTTCTTTAAGGGCCAATTCAATTCTTACATCTTCTACAAAGTCTTCCGTAACTCTTATTTTTCAGAATAATTTCATTGTTTTCCAGACACCCATTGCATTTACTTACTATACCTTATACTTGGCCTTTGAAATTCATTATCTTACTTTAGTGATTAGAATAGTTTGTTTGTTTGTTTTTTGTGGGACCCTCGCCTGCAGCCAGGGAAGGAACAGGTGCTGCAGAGGCTGCCGGCAGCCACTGCGCCACCAGGGGAGGCCCTAGAACAGTATTTTTTTAATGAATCTTTGTTATAGTTAAAAAATGACTTTAGAATCAGACTCTCTGGATTATACTGGCAAACTAAACTGAGCCTCTCAGTGGCTCAGTTTTCTCATCTGTAAAATAAAGAATAATAGCACCAACCACAAGGGGTTACAAGTAGGGTTAAATGAGTTAAGACAACCTAGAGACAATGTTGGTTAATATTAAGTACTCAGTAGTTTTAGCTCCACTAAGTACCTTAGGTGAGAAAAATAAGTGAAAAAATTGCTTGTCTGGAATGGGGTGGGGGGGCTTCTTTTCTGCCTTTCATATCCTTGCAAAACCAAGCCCATAAGAAGTTCTTAGTAAGTTTTTTCAAACTTTTTATACTATGACATTCTATTTTTTTCTAAAACATTCTCATTTTCAACAGAGTGGTTTGTTCCATGAGTAATAAAGAAATATATCTTACCAGTCTTCAGCAAAATATGTTCCCTTTTCACTCTTGAGTTGTTGAACTACTTTGCTTGACTGAAAACATGCTTTGTGAACTTCTTTGTCCTTTATCTGTCTTAAAAAGTAGTTCCTTAATCTCTCTACCTCCTCATGGTATGCCTTTACAGACTTTCTAAATGTAATTGCCCTTACCTAATTAATTTCTTATTGTATACTTACCCTTTTCCTTCTGAAAGTTTGATATTTCCAGCAGCCCACAGGCTATTTCCAGCAGGTTCTTAATAGTAGCCTCACATTAAATCAGATTTAACCACTTCATTGACATTTCTCTCCCCTAAACAAAATTCTCTTTCCCTCTTCCTATTATAGTACATATTCAGACAAGTTGGAATCTAGAGATCCATTTTTTGATTTTCCTTTTATCTTCAATGTTTAATTAAAAATTTTGACTCATGGATTTTTTGTTCTTGTATTCTCCTTGGTGTAACATATCCTTTTTATCTCCATATTTATCACCTAATACTAGGACTATGTCCTGTCTGCAAAACCAACGAGCCAGTTTCTAACCTCTTGTTCTCTCTTCCACAAATAATTCCATCCCAATAGTCATCATTAGAGTCCTTTTCTAAAACAGTGTTCCGTCATGTCATTCTATTATTCAGCAGCAGAACTAGTGTTTGCTGAATAATATTTACCTTCCCTGAAAATACTAGGGCGTGTGGAACATTATTTTATACTGTATTGGTTTCTATGACTTTTTTAATATTTTAAAAGCTCTGTTTACCAAAGAAAATTGTAAATCCCTTAAGGTAAAAAGCTATATATTAAATAGAGATATATATGTGTGTGTATATACATATATACATATATGCACATATATACATATATATACATATATGCACATATATGTTGTTAATTTCTCAAAACATACTATTTACATAGTAAAATGAATTAGGTTCTAGCTAAATAAAGGTGAAAATCAGCAGACTCTGCTATGTATACATAGAAATTCTCATACTTGTATTTGAGTATTACTTGAGGGTATGCCTATATCCCTCCCTTCCATACTTTATTTAATTCTAAGTACCTACTATTATAGTTCAGATTCCTTCCAAAGCCTTTACTATTATACCATAGGTTCTCTTATTTGCTCTGAAACCACTTCTGGAACTCCTGCCAGAATTTTAATGATTCTACCACTTTTCAGTAGGAAAAGACACATCAGTTTCCTTCCACCAGGTGATTTAGGGCAGGGAAACCATGCCATTTTTCTTTGATTATAATAACATTAAAATCCAATAGAGTCAGACCAGTCCCAGAAGATGGGAATCTCAGAAAGCTCTGCATAGCTTCTGTCACAATAATTCCCTTCCTGTCTTTGTATCTTGGCTCAAGCTAGCACCATACTTGTCTCCATTCAGGGGAAGTGTTGCTGTGGACTATGCAAACTGTGTGTCTACCTTCATCATTAGACCTGCATAGCTGCTCAGGCTATGGGGACAAATTGCTTCTGCCAATGATCTGAGATATTTCTCTGAATTTCCAGGATTGATGTCTGTATTGGCAGAAATAAGGCCAAAGAATGACTTGGGACATCCCTTTTGTGATAATTTGAGATCTGGAGATTGGATGATTGACTATGTCAGTAGCCGGCTTATTGCACGATCGGGAACTATTGCTGAAGTAAGTAAAGCTATATTCTAGTCAAAAAAAGGGCACAAAAAGAACTATGTTACTGTGTCATATATAGTATTTACACTGTTTTCTAGACTGAAACATTTTCCTCCCTTCATCATCTGTCAGTTCTAATCTGGTTGATAGCGTACTAGATAGTAGAGTTGCATGTTTGGATTTGCCTCTTAAAATACACCTAGCCTGTAAACACACCAAATTAACTTTTAAAATTATTTTTATAACAGGTTGGTAAATGGTTGCAGGCTATGTTCTTCTACCTGAAGCAGATCCCACGTTACCTTATCCCATGTTACTTCGATGCTATATTAATTGGTGCATACACCACTCTTCTGGATATAGCATGGAAGCAGATGTCAAGGTATATCCAACAAAGCTTGAGTAAATAGGCATGTTTGTGCAGAAACCACCTATTAAAAGAAAAAAAAAAAACATGGAGAATTCTCATAGATTCATAGAGCAAAAAAGGTTTGTAAGTGAGTAGTAAATTTATTAGCATCCTTTAATCTAGAGCATACCAAAAAAAGCTTAGATATTAAAATCTCGTCCATTAACCTAAAAATACATGTGTATGAGAAAATTTAATTATTGTGTATTACTTATTTCTGTTTATTCTTTGCCATAAGTTAATGGATACAATTTTTAGAATATGCATATACACATACAGTTCTTTTTCTAATTTTTCATTCAGAAAAAATTTCAGCTATTGTAAATGAAATTTGCCATTAAAGAAAATTTTTCCCAAAATGAAACAGCAGATCAAAATGTGCCAGTAAAGAGTGACCAAATTGATTGGAGTATAATTTCAGAAAGTCAAAAATCAGGCCATGGGTTAAAACCAATTAGAGCATTGAGTGAAATGAAAGCAGTTTTGAAGCTTAAATAAATTGAAATATTTTTCAGCTATTACCATTGTTAGACATTTGTGTAAAGAGATTATATGAAGGTAAAATAACACTGCTAAAAAAATTCTTACTCAGTGGGTATAAAGTATCAGTTATACAAGATAATAAATTCTAGAGTCTGCTCTACAACGTCATGCCTATAGCAGTATTCTATACAATAAGGTATTAATAAGATATAATACTATAACAAAAATAACAAATATATACCTAAAATATAAGAAGGTATTTTTGCCACAATAAATAAAATTCCTTAAAGAAATATTAAAATATTTTGTACTTCTACAAGTAATATTTTAAGCTCTACTACTTTTATTGCAGCTTTGTGCAGAACGGTTCTACTTTTGTGAAACACCTTGCATTGGGTTCAGTCCAAATGTGTGGAGCAGGAAAATTCCCTTCTCTGCCACTTCTTTCACCTTCACTTATGGATGTACCATACAGGCTAAATGAGATCACAAAAGAAAAGGAGCAATGTTGTGTATCTATAGCTGCAGGTAAGAAGTTATGTACAAGGTTAAGATGTGTACGTCAGCTTTATTCAAAGATGAAAAGTTAGGGGGAAATGATTGTTTAAAAACAGGAGCAATGATATTACCCAAGATTTTATATTACTGCTTTGTAAAAGTTCATGGATATTCAAGTTTAAAAATAATAACCTTCCTAATTAATTATCGCTGTGCTTCAGGCATTTACTTCTATGTGTCTTTATTGTGACTGTTAATCCTTTTCTTCTCCATGTTTCTCTTTTTTCTAACTCTTCTCATATTAGGTTCTGGTATTTTTTTATTGAGGTAATATTGGTTTTCCACATTGTATATGTTTAGGGGTATAGGTTCACATCTCTGCAAATGTACGTTACCACACAACACTCACCACCAAAGCCCCAATAATCCTCCACTGCACTCCATTAAGTCCCTTCCTTTCTTTCTTGCCATCTCTCCTCCCATCTGGTAACCTCAGTTCTGCCGTGAGATTCCAAGGGTGGTTTTGGTTTGGTTTTGTCTGTTCCTTTGCTCTATTTCTTTACATACCACATGTAAGTGAAGTCATCCAGGATTGTTCTTTCTCCTCCTGACTTATTAAGGAAATCCCTTCCAGTTCATCCATATTGTCACAAATGGCAAGAAATCATAATTTTTTTTATAACTGAGCAGTTTCCATTGTGTATGCATACCGTATCTTCTTTTTCCATTCATCTGCCATTGGATACTTAGGGTTTTTCCATTTGGGCTATTATAAGTAGTGCTGCAGTGAACATATGAGTGCATATGTCCCTTCAACTTAGTGTTTTTATATTCTTTGGAGAGATATCTAGAAGTGGAATTGCTGTATCACATGGTAGATCTATTTTTAATATTTTGAGAAGCTTCCAGACTGTTTTCCATGTGACTGAATCAATCTACATTCCACCAAAAGTGTTCCTTTTTCTCCATATCCTCACCAACACTTGCTATTTTTGGTCTTTTTGATATGAACCATTCTCACAGGTGTGAGGTGATATCCCATTGTGGTCTTGATTTTGCGTTTCCCTTATAATAAGTGATGATGAACAATTTTTTCATGTGCCATTGCATGTCCTCTTTGGAGAAGCTGTTATTTAGCTCTGCCCATTTTTTAATTATTTGTTTTCTTGTTGGGCTATATGAGTTCTTTGTAGATCTTGGATATTAGCCTCTTGTTGGATTCATATATTATATTTTTAATTAGATTTTTTTCACTGTCCTAATTTCATTATATTATACTTCTTTCCCAATTTTATTTTTTTAAAGATTTATTATGCATACAAGAGCTGGGGTACAGGCCAGAGATGCAGGGGGTGAGATGATCCACCAGAGACAGAGTGGGGAACAGAACAGGCAAACTGACTGAAATACACTGCTGAGGGGAGCAGCTGAAGAGACAGGAGAAGTCTGCCTCGCCATGTGGGTTTCTCCATGGCTGGCCGGGGATTGAACTCATGTTGCAGAGGCTGCAGATTGCTTCATAGTGCGGTGCTTAACCCCTTGAGCCACCAGGGAGGCCCTCCTTCCCAATTTCAGAAAAATTTTCCCAACCACTATATCAAGTGAAGGTCCTCTAACAAGTTCCAAAATACAAAACAAACGTTAAACAAATTTTTATTAGGAGTCTAATTGTAGTCAAATGCTTTCAGCTATATTTATTGACATCCTTTCCTGCAAGTAGATTTAAAATGAGTCAAGTAAATAAATCTAAATAAACAAAATAAGTAAAATGACAGACTTTGTCTATGTGATTTCCTCTGTAACCCTTACATTTGCATCACTCAGACAAAAAGGCAAAAGAGTATGGGAACCAACAACTAAAAAAGACATTCACTTTTCATTTAGAGTGATCAAATGAGCCTTCGAATGTTTTAATTATATAATTGTATTTTAAATTTTCACTCAACTATTTGCTCTTATTCTGGTACTGATCTTTTCCCTATGAATCCATGCAGATGCTTATAAACCCAGACTGGGCCACTGTGAGAAAAAAGTTGATATGCAGAATTTCATTTTAAAGCCTACTGTTTAGAATCCTATTGCATAAAATAGTGATTTCAGTATTTTTTATTTTACACTGCTATTGTTAAATCTTCCCAAAATAGATGTACTGATACACTGATATCATAAATGATAACCTGTGTAAGTTATGGTATCTGGTATACTTATCCATCATGTGTAGTATAACGCAAAAGTGGAAATTAAAAATGTTAAGTTGATAAATATAAAAAGAATTTAAAGGGCCTCCCTGGTAGCACAGGCAGTTGAGCGCAGCACTGTGAAGCTGTGCACAGCCTTTGCAGTGCTGGTTCAATCACCTCTGGCCTCGGAGCAACCCACATGGCGCAGCAGACCTCTCCTGTCTCGCCCACTGCTCCCCTCAGCAGTGTATTTCAGTCATTCTGCTTTTTCTGCTCCCTGCTCTGTCTCTGGTGACTCCTCTCATCCTCCCGCACATCTGGCCTGTACCCTGGTTCTTGTATAAGTAAAAATAAATCTTAAAAAAAAAAAAAGAATTCAGGGTATTTACTTTTAACATTAAAGGGAGAGTTTTCTATAGTCCATACCAACAAAATAAGGGGCTATACACAGATTTGGAGATAGGTTTTTGCTAGTTATTTTTTTAATAAATATTCTTTTTTTTTTAAAGATGTATTTACTTATTGTGTATAAGAACTGGGGTGAGGCCAGAGTTCTGGGAGATAAGAGGATTCACTAGAGACAGACTTGAGAGCAGAACAGGCAAATTTACCAAAATACACTGCCAAGGGGAGAAGCTGGTGAGACAGAAGAGGTCTGCTGTACCATATGTGGTTTAGCACCCTGACCAGGGATCAAACTCGGGCTCAGGCTATAAGGTGATAGAGCTGATACTTAACCCATAGGCCACCAGGGAGTCCCTCGGAAGTTGTTTTAAAATGAACACCAAGGCCAGATACACCTTCCCTTGGTGATAGTTATGCCAAAAAAAATAAAGTTACAAGCTTTCAGGGTAAATGGCAAAGCAAAAAGATAGATGACCTATGTTCTCTTAGATGTGTATACTCTTAGGGATCAAGAGTAAGTACAGGCATTTCCTATGTCAATGCTAAGTATTTTATACTTTTGATTTCTTGACAAACTCCCTGTATTTTAGGACATACCAACTTAAACTCACAGTTAATCCTATCCATACTCACATTTGATACAAAAGGTTAAATGGGTTAAAATACCTATTTATTTTGTTTAGCACAAAATGGGCTCTTTGTTTTACCTGCTGTCATCATCAAAATTATTATCATTAGGGCCTCCCCAGTGGCGCAGCAGTTGAGCGCTGGTTGGGAAGCTGTCCGCAGCCTCTACTGCGGCTGCCAGGGCGAGGGTCCCACGTGGCGCGCAGACCTCCCTGCCGCGCCCGCTGCTCCCCTCAGCAGTGTATTTCGTCTGTCTGTCTGTTCTGCTCCCCGCTCTGGCTTTGGTAAATTCTCTCACCCTCCCGCACTTCTGACTGTACCCAATGCTTGTATAAATAAATTTTAAAAATTTTTTTTAAAAATCTTAAAAAAAAAAAATAGGGTTTTAGATTTTATCTACCAATCACAGTGTTATATCTCATGCATAAAGACTTCAATTATCTAGAATATTCAAGTTATTGGCACATGAAATATTTGTTTTCATCTGTAAAAAGTGGCTCTGGTTACAAAACAACACTTATAAGTGGTTTCCCATTTGAATTAATGGGAAATTTGGTTTGCCTCAAGCGATAACTTAATACACACTTATATATCATTGAAGTAGTCATATCATATTCGATTCATTTCTTACCTTTAAATTGCAGGTAGCGTCTTTTCAAATACGTCATTACTATTATGTTAACTGCTTCTCTAGTTATCAATATTTGATTTCTGATTTTAATTTTAATTTATTAAAAGAAAGTTTACCTGGGCTTAACATATTCGTTCAAATCAATTCAGATAAGCATTCCTCTCTAACACTGTTCCTTAATCTCTTTTGGGTCATAGATTCAGGAATCTAATAATATATATGGTGACTCATTGCACAAAAGTTGACATAAGGGTAGACTTATAGTTTGCAGATAATTTAGAGAGTTTGCTGACTCCATATATTCCATCTTTGTCCTCCAGGTTTAGAGCAACTAGTCTGTAGTAATGGAGTTCATGGGTTTGTTTATATTATTAAGATTAATATATTACTTTATTGTATTTTCTGTTAGGCTTACCTCATTTTTCTTCTGGCCTTTTCCGCTGTTGGGGAAGAGACACTTTTATTGCCCTTAGAGGTATACTGCTGATTACTGGACGCTATTTAGAGGCCAGGTAGGAGATTGCAAAAAGTTGCAATGAAAGTTTATGTCTGAGTGATTTTCATATGTTCTTTCCACCTTCCTTCTTATGCATTATTCTAGCCTCAATATTGGGGAGGTTTGTTTTTCTTGGGTGTTTTTTTTTTAACATGTCATTTAATAAGATCATAGCGTTTCGATTGAAATTGAAAATAGCTGAAGTGACTAAGTTCTAGTACCTCATATTACAGATCTTCAGCATTTGCCAATTTATTTTAATGAAACTAAAAGAAATGCATGAATATATTACTGTTATCACTCCTACTTAGTAAGATTTCTGTGCCTGAATTAGGTGTAAGAACTCAGATGAACTTTTAGACAAAATTTGAAAGCTTACTTCTTTTTATCCTACATAAAGGCATTGCTGACTCTTTGAGTGATGTAGAAAAAAATTATATGTCAAGTTATCCACTATCTGTTGTCCTTGTAACTTCCAGTTTTATACTTTCTAGACTTAAAATTTTCTTCTTTCATGTCACAACAATATGAGTTCATTTAATGGGGTAGAAAAGAAAAGCTCTACAGTAGTGGCACGCAGACTGTGTTCTACAAATCAGCAGTGTTAGAAATACAAGTTCTTTGTTCCTGTCCCAGACTTGCTGAATCCAAACAAGTGGGTGGGGAGGGCAGAGTTGGCAGGCAGAGATCTGTTTTTATAGAGGCTCCAGACAATTTTCAGAAGCCTCAAACTAAAAGCATTGTGTGGGATCCCAGTTCCTGCTGGTCAAACTAAAATGTAGAGTCAGATGGGGGCTTCTCACCAGGGCAAAAGTCCTAGTATGAGGAACATTCTGGGAAACCAGTATCTGCTGAAAACAGCAGGCAGATATTATGACCAGATTAGCAAGATCCGCTAAATGCCTTGCTAGTAAGGATTAGCAGTAGTAATAGGAACTAGCAGTAGTATGCCTTGATGAGTGGTAACTATGGAGCCCCCCAAGCAGTAGCCCCTGGTCACTCCACCCTAACTTGCACCGCACAATGATGCAGCCCCGATAATGTACTTCCACGAATGTACATTCCACCACCTACTTGCCCATCTTCTCTAAATAAATATGAGAATGCCCATAGATTAGAGCTGCACTTTTTTAGGTGTAAACCCCTCTAGGCCTCTCTCTTACTTGGACTTTGAGTATTCTTTCCTTCGTCCTATGCTGCTCCCAACTCTGCTGCCTTATGAGGTGACATCTTACAAACCCAGTTGTCATTTGATATATGATAATAGAATAACAATTTAAAAGATAAAGTATCTTCCACCAGTTTTTAAAAGTGAATTGCTATTCAAGGTCAGTTTCACTTCTTTTATTTTCTTACATGTCTGCTTTGCTGTTGGTACCTATTATTGAAATTTAACAGAGTTCATGTTTGTAGTTACTTAGATTTTGAAATACCATTTTCAAACATAGAATCTAAACCTGTGAGGGACCATAAAAATCACCCAGTCCGATCCCTAATTCCACAGATGGAAAAACTATACCAGAAAGGTGAAGTCACACAGATTATTAGAAGAAAAAAACAGGGCTATGATCAAGGATTCTGGCTCAGTTCACTGCTTTTTCTGTCATATCATGATTACTTTCTACAAGAAAAAAACTTTTATTTTTTTTTTTTTTTTTTTTTTTTTTTTTTATAGAGGCATGTCTCCATTTATTTATTTATTATATTTGCTTGTCTTGTTTATACATGCACTGGGCACAGTCAGAAGCGCGGGAGGGTGAGAGAATTCACCAGAGCCAGAGCGGGGAGCAGAGCAGGCAGAAGGGCTGAAGTACACTGCTGAGGGGAGCAGCGGGTGGCAGGAGAGGTCTGCGCACCATGTGGGATCCTCCTCCGGTGGCCGGGGAGCAGCCGGGGATCGAACCGGCGCCGCAGAGGCCGCGGGCAGCTTCGCAACCCAGCGCTCAACCGCTGCGCCACCGGGGAGGCCCAAGAAAAAAACTTTTAAAAGGGCAGGAGAGAAAATGCATCTGAAATGATTGTCATCAAAAGTGACTTTTTATTGTCATTTTTTTAAATGATTGTTTTCCTGTCAGTTGTTGCACCTAATTCTGTTTTTTTAGGAATATTATTTTAGCATTTGCTGCAACCCTGAGACACGGTCTCATTCCTAATCTCCTGGGTGAAGGAACTTATGCCAGATACAACTGCCGAGATGCTGTGTGGTGGTGGCTACAGTGTATTCAGGATTACTGTAAAATGGTTCCAAACGGTGTAGACATTCTGAAGTGTCCCGTTTCCAGAATGTATCCTACAGATGATTCTGTTCCCTTGCCTGCCGGCACACTGGTAAAAATAATTTCTTAAAATAATTTCTTCCTTAAAATAATTTCTTCCTGAAAAATTTTAGCTTCTAACATAAAAATACATGTAATTAAGAATGCAAAGCTTAAGTATCAATATTCTTCAAATACTGATATTGATAGTACCTGCTGGTACCATGAAAGATTGCAAAGATAAGTCTTGCTCTTTGCCTAAAGAGCTTACATCATGGTACAAGAAATGATGTGTACATAGTATGGTCATTGCAAAAAGAGGTATAAGGGGAGAGCTATGTCATGTCATAACAGCAAGAGAGGTGATCTGTGTAGTCATTAATCTCAGGGAGGACCTCAGAACATAGCTAAAATTTCACCTGAACTGAACTTTAAAAGGTGTGTAGGATTTCAGCGGACATGAGGGAAGTTGTGGGAAGACATCAAAGATAAAAGGAGTGGATTGAAGCACAGTGCAAGACATACTGCTCAGTTTAGTTTGTAAGGTAGTAACAGCTTGTAGAAAGGGTATTAACCAGGTTATGGAATCCCTTGATTGCCAATCCAGGCAATAAACTGGCCAATCCAGTTTATCTTATGAACAGTGGAGAATGAATTTTTGAGCATTTTTTCCCAATCAGAAATATAAATGATGCTGTACTTTTGCTGCTTCTGATCTGCCTTTCTGTTGTAGTTTATTATTGTCAGGGACTTCTAAGCCACCTCCACGCTAGCATGGATTTGTGTCCCCAAAATATTTATATCATAAAGTTTTAAAGAATATTTGTGCAAAACATTTTTACTTAAAGTGCCACTTCAGTATATAATTTATCCCCATTTTTGTATGTGTGGATGAGTAAAAACAGCAATCCCAATTAAAAATCCAGATTTCTGTAATAAGCTAGTTTCTCTATTAGCTGAATAATTCACTTTAACAGAATCTCTTGAGCTCACAAAATTGGTTGCATATGTCAGTAAAATTAGAATGTGTTTCATGACACAGACATTAATAGTCAAAACTACGGTATGTTAAATATTCTAATGCCAAGTCAACCATATTATTTGGTGTATAGGAGCTGCTGTTCTCCCTAACCCCACTCCAGTCCCCTCTTCTCCCTCCAAAAGAAAATTTTATTTTTTACAATACCTTCATTTGTGGGATTTGGGAAGAAGATTAAAAAATGTGATTTCTAAAGGCAGTAAAATCTGTTATGTCTCACATAGGATCAGCCATTGTTTGAAGTAATACAGGAAGCGATGCAAAGACACATGCAGGGAATACAGTTCCGGGAAAGGAATGCAGGCCCACAGATAGATCGAAACATGAAGGATGAAGGTAATAACTTTAGAACCGTGGTAAAAATAAAATTCTGTGTTTTGTCAGCCAATTTTGTAACATTGCTGGTAGTTGCATTTATAATCTCATAATTGCTAGTGACTTGAGTGCTTAACTATGTGCTAGGTGGTGTCCTCACTACTTTACCTCTGTTATTCCCTTTTTTTTTTACTTATTTTTTCATGACATCAATAATTTTTTTTTAAAAAGATTTATTTATTTATGCATACAAGAGCTGGGGTACAGGCCAGAGATGCGGAGGGTGAGAGGATTCACCAGAGACAGAGTGGGGAACAGAACAGTCAGATTGACTGAAGTACACTGCTGAGGGGAGCAGCAGGTGAGTCAGGAGAGGTCTGCTGTGCCATGTGGGTAGCTCCCTGACAGGCCGGGGATCAAACTCGTGCTGAGAGGCTGTGGATTGCTTCAAAAGGCTGTGCTTAACCCCTTGCGCCACCAGGGATGCCCCTTGTTATTCCCTACCAAAAACATTGGAGAATGGGCCCCCCTGGTGGCGCAGTGGTTGAGAGCTGGGCTGCAAAGCTGCCCGCAGTCTCTGCAGCACCAGTTCGATCCCCGGCCACCGGCGAGGGTCCCACATGGCGCGCAGACCTCTCCTGCCGTGCCCACTGCTCCCCTCAGCAGTGTACTTCGCTCCTTCTGCCTGTTCTGCTCCCCTCTCTGGCTGTGGTGAATTCTCTCACCCTTCTGCGCTTCTGACTGTACCCAGTGCTTGTATAAATAAATATATAAATCTTTAAAAAAAAAAAGATTATCTTAAAAAAAAATTGGAGAAGACTTGAATTGTTTCCATTTTTATTGATATCATAACTAAAGCAGAGTAGCTTCTTCGGAGTTAGATGGCTTCTAAGTGGCAGAGCTAGGATTTCATCCATAGTCTGTCTTTTTTTTTTTGAAAATGTATACAAATGAAATCCTATAGTATGTAGCTTTTCAAAATTAATTCTTTCACTAAGCATAATTCTCCTTGTAGTCCTTGCAAGGTGTTGTATGTATCAACAGTTTATACCTTTTTATTGCAAGTATTACTCCCTTTCATGAAATAATTCACCTGTGGAGATTTGAGATTGGGAAGGACATTTGAGTTGTTTCTATTTTTGGCTAATTCAGTCAAGCTACTGTGAACATTCATAAACAAATTTTTGTGTGAACATAGGTTCTCATTTCTTTGGAATAAGCATCCAAAAATGTGATTAGATCTTATGGGAAGTACATATTTTATTTTATAAGAAGCTGTTGAACTGTTTTCTAAAGTGATTGACCCATTTTACATTCCCACCAGCAAACTTTTTGGAAAGGTCAGTTTTCTCCATTCCATTGCCAGGATTTGGTATTAACACTGCTTTTTAAAAGCCATTCAATGGCCAACAGGCATATGAAAAAATGTTCAACATCACTTGTAATCAGGGAAATGCAAATCAAAACTACAATGAGATACCATCTCACACCAGTGAGAATGGCACATATTAAACAATCTAGCAACGACAAATGTTGGCGAGGATGTGGAGAAAAAGGAACTCTCCTGCACTGTTGGTGGAAGTGCAAACTAGTCCAACCACTATGGAGAGCTGTGTGGAGATTTCTTGACCTACTAAACTTAGAGCTTCCATATGATCCAGCAATTCCACTCCTAGGGATTTATCCAAAGGACAGAGAAACATCAATTCCAAAGAGCACCAGCACCCCTATGTTTATAGCAGCACTATTTACAATAGCTAAGCTTTGGAAACAACCCAAATGCCCAAAAATAGACGACTGGATCAAGAAGATGTGGTACATATATACCATGGAATATTACTCAGCATTCAAAAAAGATAAACACATGCAATTTGCAGCAACATGGATGGCGCTGGAAGGGATCATGCTCAGCGAAATAAGCCAGAAAGAAAAAGAAAAATACCGGATGGTCTCACTCATAGCAGGAATCTAGAAAACTTAAATAAGGGACCAGGAAAAAGAATAACTATAAGAAAGAAAATATCAAAATCAACAAACAACTATGAACCAGAGACACTCTATGGGAGGGTGGGGGCGGGGAAATGAGGGCTTGGGGTCAAAGTAAGGGTGTTGTAATTGTATGGGGAATATAAAAATAAAATTTAAATTAAAAAAAAACCTACAAATAAATAAATAAATAAAAGGCATTCAAATAGTTGTCTAGGCCACCACATATTATGGCTCTAATTTACATTTCCATAACTAATGGGGTTGAACATCCGTGCATGGGCTCATTTACCACCCATATCCTTTCTTTGTTGAAATGTCTGTTCTTGTTTGTCCTTTTTCAAATGGGATTGCTGGTTTTTTGCCTATTAAGGATTTTTGTGTGTGTGGTAAAATGCACATAACATTTTTACCATGTTATCATAAAGTAGATCATTTTAACCATCTTTAAGTGAACAATTGGGTGGTCTTAGGTACATTCGGAAGTGTTTTGCAACCATCATCACTATCCATCTCTATAACTTTTTCATCATCCCAAACTGAAAACCTGTATTCAATGAACAATAGCTCCTCGTTCTTGCTCCCCTATGCCCCGGGAACCATCATTTTATTTCTGTCTTCATGAATTTGACTACTCAAGATACTTCATGTGAGTAGAATTATATAATATTTGGTTTTTTATATCTGGTTTATTTTGCTTATTTTTTATCAATAAAAATGGAAACAATTCAAGTCTTCTCCAATGCCCTTGGTAGTGTTAAAAGGATTAACATAGGTAAAGTAGTTAGCACACCACCTAGCACATATACTATACTTTTACAGCCTTTGATTAAATACAAGCAAATTTCTTTCCAGAATTACTATACCAGTGTATATTCTAACAATCATAGAGGTCTTTATATACTCATGAGCCTGCCAAAATTTGGCATTATCCACTAATCTCAAAGGTATAAAGCAACTGTAAGTCTCCTGTCACTGCTGAGTATGAGTATTTATATGTTTACTGTCTTCTTGGGAAAGTTTTCTATAAGTTGTTCGTTCATGTTCTTTGCCTTTACTTGTCTTTTTTGGCATTCCTGTATTTTTCTTATTTATTTCCAGGAATACTTTATGTATTGTAGATGTCCATCCATTGTCAATTTTAGACATTACATAATCCTTTTCTGCCACCAACCCTAACTTTATCTATGCTGTACCTTCAGCATTCTGAGTTAGGGGAGGTTAGGGGTTAGTACTTCAACATAAGGATTTAACGATTATATAATTTAACCCAAAACAGATGGTAACATTGACAGTTTTTAGTTTTGAATATATTACTGACAGCATTATAAATGTAAATTTAGTATTTTAAGGCAATTTGGATTAAGAATCCAAGCATATTTTATAAGATATAAAACACTGTTATTGTTCATGAAATGAAATAAATTATACCAAAAAAATTCATATCACATAATGATGTTGATCATACCATTGCTTGTAATCACAAAAAAGAAACAACTGGTATGTTTAACAGATGTTTACATTAACTGGAGTGAATTTAGAAATCCCTACAAATTCTAACTATTAAAAACAATAAAGTATATAGCTGTCACATCTAATACATGAGAAATAATTGGATTTGAAATAGTTATGAAAATTTTACTATTATGTGAAAAGACTAAAGGAATCCATAAATGTAATAGTTTCATTGGGGTTATAATATAATGGACTTTTTTTGCTCTGCTTTTATTTTTAAACTATAGTTTTTAGCATAAAATTTAAGCTTTTTAAGTGATTCTAGATATTTCAGATACTCACTAACTTTGGCAAATTTTGATGTAGACTCAAAAATCTAAATTACTTATTGTATGTTCTAAATTATATTTTAAATGATAACTCAAGCTCTCTTTAGTTTATTGTTTGTAGTGGTGATATACAAATTTTATACCCACCTGAACTGATATGAATCACTGATACTTATTTGATCCTTCATAGAGAAAAATAAATAGAAATAGATTTTATATTTTATGCACATTTTTGTGAGGTTATATTAGTTTTTCATTTTAATTATAAAATATGTCAACTAACAGAATATAATATAAATTGCTCCTTCAAAACCTAGTACTGAAATTAGACAGATGTTTAACAAATTTGGCCATATTTTCTTCGGATCTTTCTGTTTTGTTTTGAAAAAAATAATCCATAACAGGCCTATCTAAAGTCTTCTTACACATCTCCCCATAGGCATGTAGGCAAGGATTTCTCTAGGGAATAAATCTAGAAATGAAATTACTGTGTGATAGAATATGCACGTCTTCAACTTTTATGGAATTACCAGATTACGCTGTTTAGCAGTTATCCTAGTTTATCTCATCTCTTTTAAATTTTATAAACGTTCTATTTTATATTTTTAGGCTTTAATATAACTGCAGGGGTTGATGAAGAAACAGGTTTTGTTTATGGAGGAAATCGTTTTAACTGTGGCACATGGATGGATAAAATGGGAGAAAGTGACCAAGCTAGAAACAGAGGAATCCCAGCCACTCCAAGGTAGTGTTTATAGTTCTTATATAACTAAACCTTTTTTTTATAAAACTACGTACTTGTGGAATCCTGTATTCTGTTACCATGAAGTCAAAATCTGCCTCCTTTCCTTCCCTCTTTCTCTCTCCCCTAATATGCATATACAATCTTTTAGTAATAGTCATCAAATATTAGTCTGTTCTCTTCTGGGAGTTCCCATGGGTTGATTCTCTATAAACACCATAAAGGAAAATGTGTTTCTGTATTATCCCGTGGTTAAGGCATTTTTATAACCTGAAGTGCTTTTAGAGTGAGCATTGCTTTATACCCATCTTTTGTAAATATGGATGATAATCAACTGTCCTCTCTTTTATGCTATCCTTTCTGAACCTTTTCTTTCCCATAAATTTTTTTATCTTTCATTCTATCATGTCCTTCTATGATTTCAAATGCTTAGAACAGTATCAAGTCTTGAGACTCTATTTTCTTATTCTAAGCTTATTTTCAGTCAGTTATCAAGAAAATATGAATTAATGTAGCTGTTTTTAAATGCTTTAGAGTCTTTTCATTTTTATTTTTTTAATAGATTTATTTATTTATGCATACAAGAACTGGGGTATAGACCAGAGTTGTGGGGGTGGGTGTGTAAGAAGATGCACCAGAGACAGAGTGGGGAACAGAACAGGCAGATTGACCAAAGTACACTGCTGAGGGGAGCAGCGGGAAAGACAGGAGAGGTCTGCTGTGCCATGTGGGTTGCTCCCTGGCTGGCTGGAGATCAAACTCATGCTGCAGAGGCTGCAGACTGCTTCGTAGTGCTGTGCTTAACCCCTTGTACCACCAGGGAGGCCCTTTAGAGTCTTTTAAAAACCTGTTTATTTTGATATTTTGCTAGATTTTGTACTTCCCTACTTCCCTTTCATTTTTCTTAAAAATAAACTTTCAAATTATTATGTTCATCTTCCCTGACTTTCTCCAGTGCTGCATTCTATGTTTATCTTGTCTCTGGCACTCTATCTCAGTATTCTCTGATTCCTTATTCCTACCTTTTTCCAGCTGCCATCTCCTTTTACTCCATGTTCCCCCTTTCTACTTACAGAATTTTTTGAAAATGTTAATGAACAGTGGCAAAAGAGTACAAGGAGAGGGCCTCCCTGGTGGCGCAAGGGGATAAGCACCACGCTATGAAGTAATCTGCAGCCTCTGCAGCATGAGTTCGATCCCCGGCTGGCTAGGGAGCAACCCAAATGGCACAGCAGACCTCTCCTGTCTCACCCACTGCTCCCCTCAGCAGTGTGTTTCAGTCAGTTTGTCTGTTCTGTTCCTCACTCTGTTTCTGGTGAATCCTCTCACCACCACCACCCCACCTCTGGCCTGTGCCACAGATCTTGTGTGCATAAATAAATAAACCTTTAAAAAAAAAAAGAGTACAAGGAGAGATTTCTTGTGCAATATACATTACTATAAAGTGAGGGGGTTGTTTTATAGATAATTGTCTGTATAACACATGTCCTATAATACATGTTCTGTAATTCATCAAAATTGTTTATTCAGTGCTTATTTAGTTTACTGCAGTACTTAATGGCCCAACTCACAACATAAAAAATTGTTTTTTTTAAATTTATTTTTAATTTTAGAGATGGGTCTGCTGTGGAAATTGTGGGCTTGAGTAAATCTGCCATTCGTTGGCTGCTGGAATTATCTCAAAAAAATATTTTCCCTTATCATGAAATCACAATAAAAAGACATGGTAAGCTATTCATTTTATTTGCAGAGAAATTTCAAATGTATTATGTATGGGATTAGTCTGTGTAAATCATTTTTTATTCCCTTCCCTCTCCCTCTACCATGTAACCATCATTTGACTCAATGAACTGATATTAGAAAACCTTTAAAATTAAGAGAAAAGTAAGACCATAATTTCCTGGCATGAAAGTTATAACAAATCTGGTTACTAACTATATTTTTATAGAAACTTTGAGATATGAAAAACATCATAGTTACTGATTTGTTGTATTTTCTTTTCCTCAGTGTGACAGTGAGCAAATTGCATTTTTATTGGAAAAATTGAAATCTTACATCTCTTTTTTTACAACAGTGCTGTCTAATAAATACATAATGTAAGCTACAGACGTAATTTTAAGCTTTCTCATATCCACATTTTAAAAAGTAACAGAAGAAATTAATAATGATAATGGATTTTTTTTTTTAAACAATTCTCCCACATTTGTTTTTTTTTTTTTTTTAAATATTAAATTTTATTTTTATATTCCCCCATACAATTGCAAACGCCCCATTCTGACCCCAATCCTTCCCCTCCCGCCCCCCACCCCCCAAAAAGTGTCTCTGGTTCATAGTTTTTTGTTGATTTTGATTTTCACTTTCTTATATTTGTTCCTGGTCCCTTATTTAAGTTTTCTAGATTCCTGCTATGAGTGAGACCATCCGGTATTTTTCTTTTTCTTTTTGGCTTATTTCGCTGAGCATGATCCCTTCCAGTGCCATCCATGTTGCTGCAAATTGCATGTGTTTATCTTTTTTGAATGCTGAGTAATATTCCATGGTATATATGTACCACATCTTCTTGATCCAGTCATCTATTTTTGGGCATTTGGGCTGTTTCCAAAGCTTAGCTATTGTAAACAGTGCTGCTATAACATAGGAGTGCAGGTGCTCTTTGGAATTGATGTTTCTGTGTCTTTGGGTAAATACCTAGGAGTGGAATTGCGGATCATATGGAAGCTCTATGTTTTTAGTAGGTCCAGAAAATCTCCACACAGCTCTCCATAGTGGTTGGACCAGTTTGCACTCCCACCAACAGTGCACAAGAGGTCCTTTTTCTCCACATCCTCGCCAACATTTGTTGTTGCTAGTTTTTTTAATATGTGCCATTCTCACTGGTGTGAGATGGTATCTCATGGTAGTTTTGATTTGCATTTCCCTGATTACAAGTGATGTTGAACATTTTTTCATATGTCTGTTGGCCATTTGCATTTCCTCTTCAGAGAAGTTTCTTTTTAGCTCTTCTGCCCATTTTTTGACTGGATTATTTTCTTGTGGTTGCTGAGTCTCATCAGCTCTTTGCAGATTTTTGTGATCAGTCCTTTATCATTAGTGTTGGGGCAAAAATGTTCTCCCGATTGGTGGGGTTTCTCTTTGTTTTGTTATTGTCTCTTTTGCTGTGCAGAAGCTCTTTAATTTGATGTAGTCCCAGCTGTTTATCTTTCTCTTCACTATCACTGCTTTGGGTGATGTGTCTGTAAAGATGTCTTTGATATGCAAATCCCGTAGTGTTTCGCCTATATTTCCTTCTATGTATTTTATGGTTTCAGGTCTTATGTCTAGTTCTTTAATCCATTTTGAGTTGATTTTTGTGTATGGTGTGAGGGAGTGGTCAAGCTTCATTCTTTTGCGGTAGCGACCCAGTTTTCCCAGCACCATTTATTGAACAACTTTCTGCTCCAATGCATAGTCTTTGCTCCTTTGTCAAAGATTAGTTGACATAAATCTGTGGGTTTATTTCTGGATTTTCTATTCGATTCCATTGGTCTGTATGTCTGTTCTTGTTCCAATACCATGCAGTTGATGATTATGGCTTTGTAGTATAGTTTGAAGTCTGGGAGTGTGATGCCTCCATTTCCTTCTTTTTTTTTCAGTAGAGCTTTGGCTATTCGGGGTTTTTGGTGTGATTCCATATGAATTTCATCAATAATTGTTCTATTTCTTTGAAGAATGCCATTGAGATTTTGATTGGAATAGCATTGAATCTGTATATTGCTTTTGGTAGGATGGCCATTTTAATAATGTTTATTCTTCCAATCCATGAGCAGGGGATGTCTTTCCATTTCTTTGTGTCTTCTTCTATTTCTTTCACAGTGTTTTATAGTTTTCTTTGTATAGGTCCTTTACCTCTTTGTTAGATTTATTCCCAAAATATTGATTTTTTTTGTTTCGATATAAAAGGGTGGTTTTTTTGTTTCTCTTCTCTTCAGATTTATTGTTTGTGTATAGGCAGGCTACTGACTTTTGCGTGTTATTTGTATCCTGCCACTTTACTGAATTGATTGATGAGTTGAATTAGTTTTTCTGTGAGATTTTGGGGTTTCTCTATGTATATTATCATATATCTGCAAATAGTGATAGTTTGACTTCTTCTTTCCTATTTGGATTCCTTGGATGTCTTTCTCTTGTCTTATTGCTCTGGCCTAGGACTTCCAGTATTATATTGAAAAAGCAGTGGTGAGAGTGGACATCCTTGTCTTGTTCCAGATCTTAATGGAATTGCTTTCAGCTTTTCACCATTGAGAATGATACTGGCTGTTGGCTTGTCATAGATGGCCTTTATGATGTGAGGTATGTTCCTTGTATCCCAAGAATTTCAAGGCTTTATCATGAATGGGTGTTGCACTTTGTCGAAAGCTTTCTCAGCATCTATTGATATTATCATATGGTTTTTATATTTCTTTTTGTTGATGTGTTGGATAACGTTGATTGATTTTCGGATGTTAAACCATCCTTGTGCCCCTGGAATGAATCCACTTGGTCGTGGTGAATTATCTTATGGATACATTGTTGGATTCTGATAGCTAAAATTTATTGAGGATTTTTGCATCAGTGTTCATTAGGGAGATTGGCCTATAGTTTTCCTTTTTGTGTTGTCCTTATTCGGTTTTGGTATTAGTGTAATAGTGGCTTCATAGAACGTGTTTGGTATTGTCCCTTCCTTCTCAATTTTTTGGAAGAGTTTGTGAAGGATAGGCACTAATTCGTCTCTGAATGTTTGGTAGAATTCATTTGTAAATCCATCAGGTCCTGGGCTTTTGTTTTTGGGGAGGTTTTTGATTACCATTTCAATTTCGCTGCTTGTAATTGGTCTGTTTAGGTGTTCTATTTCTTCTTTATCTAGCTTGGGGTGATTGTAGAGTGTAGGAATTTGTCCTCTCCTCTAGATTGTTGAACTTGTTTCCATATAACTGTTCATAGTAGTTACTGATTATTCTTTTGATTTCTGCTGTGTCCGTTGTGATTTCTCCTCTTTCATTTATGATTCTGTGTATTTGTGCTTTCTCCCTTTTTTCCTTTGTGAGCCTGGCTAGGGGTTTGTCTATTTATTTATTTTTTTCAAAGAACCAGCTCTTGGTTTCATTGATCTTTTGGATTGTTTTTTTTAGTTTCAATTTCATTTATTTCTGCTTTGGTTTTATTATTTCTTTTCTTCTACTGGTTCTGGGGTTTTTTTGTTGTTCTTTTTCTAGATCTTTGAGCTTCGAGATTAGGTTGTTTCTTTCTTTGATTCTTTCTTGTTTTTTGATGTGAGCTTCTATTGCATATATTTTCCTCTTATTACTGCTTTTGCTGCATCCCATACATTAGGATATTGGTGTCCTCCTTGTCATTCAATTCAAAGAATTTTTTAATTTCTTCTTTGATCTCCTCGTTAGTCCAGTGGTCTTCCAGTAATGTGGCTTTTAATCTCCATGAGGTAGGATAGTTCCTTGCCTTCTTTTTTATGATTTATTTCTAGTTTGATGCCTTCGTGGTCAGAAAAGATGGTGGGTATGATTTCAATCTTGGTGTATCTGTTGATGTTTGTCTTGTGCCCCAGTATGTGATCGATCCTGGAGAATGATCCGTGTGCGCTTGAGAAAAATGTGTACTCCGTTTTTTTTGGGTTTAGTGTTCTATAGATGTCTGTTAAGCCCAAATGCTCTCTAGGTCCTTATTAGAGCTTTAGTTTCTTTACTTATATTTTGTCTTGTTGATCTATCCATTGTTGATAGTGGTTGGTTGAAGTCTCCCACTACATATGTGTTTTCTCTGATGTCTGTTTTCAGAGAGGACAACAGTTGTCTGATATATTTTGGTGCTCTTTCGTTTGGTGAGTATATGTTAATGAGTGTTATTTCTTCTTGAAGTATTGTCCCCTTAATCAAATGTAGTGACCATTGGGTCCTCTTTTATTTTTTTGAGTTTGAAGTCTGTTTTATCTGATATAAGTATAGCTTGCTTGCTGCTTTCTTTTTTGGCCCATTTGCTTGTAGGATTGTTTCCATCCTTGACTTTGAGCCTATTTTTATCTTGTAGCTAAATGTGTTTCCTGGAGACAGCAAAGGTTGGGTTTTGTTTCTTAATCCAGGCTGCAACTCTGTGTCTTTTTATTGAAGAGTTTAGTCCTTTACATTTAGAGTTAATATTGATATTTTAGCATCTGTATTTGCCATTATGTTTTTGTCTTTCCTTTGTTTTATTTATTTATTCTTTTAATAACTTTTTTTTTTTGGTCTTCTTTCGTTGTTATTCGTCCCTCTGAGGTTCTGGCTTTAGGATCCTTGTAGTATTTTTTGGAGTGGGGGTTTAGTCACAATGAAATTCCGGAGTTTCTCTTTGTCTGGGAAGGTCCATATTCTTTCTTCATGGAGGAAGAGAGCTTTGCGGGATAGAGTATTCTTGGTTGGCACTGTTTCTTGGAGTCTGTTGACTATGTCCCTCCACTCTCTCCTTGCCCGTAATGTTTCTTTGAGAAGTCTGATGTCAGCCTGATTGGTTTTCCTTTGAATGTTACCTGTTTCTTCCCTCTTGTCAGCTTCATTATTTTTTCCTTGTCCTGGATTCTTGGGAGCTTTACTATTATGTGTCTTGCTGTGTTTTTCCTTTCGTCGTGGAAGTTTGGTGTTCTTCTTGCTTCTTGTATATCAATTTTCAGCTCCTTCTTCTCATTTGGGAAGTTCTCTTCAATTATATCCATGAATATTTTCTCTGTTCCTACATCTCTCTCCTCTCCTCTGGAATTCCTATAACTCTTATATTTCCTTCCTCCCTCATGGAGTCAAGATAGTTCCCGAAGTCTTTCTTCATTCTTTTTCCTTCGTACTTCTCTTTCCTTTTCTGTTTTGGTTCTTTTTATTTCTGTGTCTTCAAGATTACTTATTCGTTCTTCCATTTCATCTATTCTGCTTTCATTGCTTTTCCCAGAGTTCTTTAGTTCCTCCATTAATTCTTTGATCTCCTGCATTTCTCTTACTTCCCTCTTTAGGGACTCAATTTCCTTCTTCTGATCTATCACTTTTTTAATCATGGCAATTTAAATTCTCTTTCTGGAAGGCTCAGAAGTTCTTCCAAGTTACTGTCGTTGCCATCTGGGGCTGGTTTTCTTTTTGTGGTGTGCTTCTTCCTGAGGAGTTTTAGGTTGCGTGTGGTTCTTCTACTCCCTACTGTCTGTTTTCTAATTTGTCGTATGCGTTGGGACACTGTGTTGCTCGGACTGACTGACATCTTGGGTGAACTTCTCCGCTCCCCTCTGGCTCTTCCAGGAGCCATCTCTGTCTTCTGGGGGAGCTTTCTGCTGGTTTTAGGCAGTTTTTACTGAAGAAATGTCCCTGTTCTCAAATGGCGAAGCGGGATGCAGTCCCTGCGCCTCCAGTTTCAGGCACACTCTTCTGCGCACCCGGTCTGCCCCGGACGTGGGTGCCTGCTCCCTCTGTGGGCTCAGACTGCTGGTCGGAAGGGGCCTGGCGTGGAATAACTTCCCGCTGGCCACTGGGTCCTCCAGAAACCTTCTGCCCTTTTCAAGCAGTCTTAAGAAATGTCCTGTTTTATAGGGTGTTAGTTGACTTTTTTTTTCCTGGTCGCTAGTGGCGCCAGAGATCTCTCCTATTGTCCTTGGGGGGCTGTTTTTCGCCTCCCCACACCCCGTGGGACAGAGAACAGAGCGGGAATGGTAGGGTACACCTCAACAGCTTTGGGGTGCTGTGTCTGCCTTGTGCCCCACCGTCGTGGAGAAACCACGCCCCGAATTTTCGTGCCCCGGGTCTCAGTTCAAAGCCCTCAGTTCCAGGACGCGGGCTGTAGCCCAGTTCAGTGGCGCGGGAATGGCGCCTTTTGCACCGCTCCCGTGCCTGGGCCCCTGGTTCCTGCTCACTCAGGGAGGGACCTTCACCTCAGTGAGGACCTCCGCGCGTCTCCCCGCAAGCCTAGGTCGTCTCCCCGCAAGCCTAGGTCGCAGGCGCGGGGACCTGGGCAGCCGCGATCCAGGTCTGCACTTGCTTTTCAAGCGCGCCGAGCGAGCCGCTTCCCGCGCCAGCTTACCGGCAGCCCGGGCTGTGTGCGCGTCTCCCGGGGTCTTTGTTCTTCTCTAATGGCGCCCGGAGCCGTTCGCTCGCCGCCGCGGCGAATCCTGCAGGGTTCGCCTCAGCTCCCGTTCACGGGGTGTGGTGGCTGCAATAGTTCCTTTCCACTCACGGTCCCGCTTGCTACGTCGTTTGTTCTTGTTGGTTGTTTTGGTTTGTTGTTTCCTCCTCTCTGCCGGTCGGAGTGGGCGGGGGAGGGGAGCAGGTTCTGTGCTTCCCTCCCTTCTAGTCCTCTTTTATGGCCAGTTTTTCTTCGGGCAGTTCGCTGGGCGTCACCCGTTTATCTCCGTTCCCAGTTCTCACTGGGACCTGCCGCTTTTCCTCCCTATTCACTTTTTTTAATGGGAGATCTTACTCGCAGCGTCTCCTCGCCCGATAATGGATTTTTAACACAATATATGCGAAATACTATTTCAACATGCAGTCAAGATAAAAGTATTATGAGTTAATTTACCTTTTTTTTAGTGGGGGGTACTAAATCTTTGAAATGCAGTGTATGTTAGTTACACTTATACACATTTCAGTTTAGACACATTTTCAGTGCTCAAAAAAGATAATTTTACCAAGAGTGGTGCAAAGATAAATCAGGAATATTTTGCCAGAGTATAATCCTTTGGGTAATATAATGACAGACAGTTTTTAGTTTCAGACTCGTATTCTTCATAAGACCCTGATACTTTAAAAAAAGTAAATAATTTATTGCCTAAGTATTTATCTTTGGCTATAACTAAATGTATGTGGGTTAGGTAGTTAAATGCTTAAAATAACCAAGTGCTCGCTTCGGCAGCACATATATTAAAATAACCAAGTTTTTTATCATGTTTCAGGAAAGGTTGTGACTGTCTCATATGATGAGTGGAACAGAAGAATACAAGAAAACTTTGAAAAGCTATTTTATGTGTCAGAAGACCCTTCAGATTTTAATGAAAAGCATCCTAATCTGGTTCACAAACGTGGCATATACAAAGATAGTTATGGAGCTTCAAGCCCTTGGTGTGACTACCAACTCAGGCCTAATTTTACCATAGCGATGGTTGTAGTAAGTGATTTGTTATTTTCAAACTTCAGTGATATTGTGATAGGGCTTATCAAGTTCTTTATTCCCATTTGTTTTCAAATTAGCTTAACTAGTATGTTGTACTTGAAAGCATCTGTATTCCAGGGCCTTCTTGGTGGCCTAGGGGTTAAGTCTCAGTGCTATCATACCGCTTACAGCCTGAGTTCTATCCGACCAGGGAGCTAACCCAAATGGTGCAGCAGACCTCACCTGTCTCCCCTGTGGCTCCCCTTAGCAGTGTATTTCAGTAGATCTGCCTGGTCTGCTCCCCACTCTGTCCCTAGAGAATCATATCACACACACCTTCTCCCCCACCGCCCCACATCTCTGGCCTGGACCCCCATTCTTCTATACATAAATCAATTAAAATAAATCATTTAAAAAAAAAAGAAAGGAAAGGAAAGCATCTGTATTACAGCGCACCTTTGCCATGACCAGTGCCTCAGCATACTGGCTGAAAAGCTCTGGACTAGTAAACTAATGTGAATATATTTACTTATACTTACTTTGCATTTTCATTGTTGTTTTGCTGTAATTACTTCTATATAGCTAAGAATTCTAATTTCAGCTAGTCTAAAAATAAACTACAAGCATAATAAAATAGGTCAAAAAGAGTACTAAACATAGTACTTTTAATTATAGTAGAATTAAAATTGCAAAGCTACAAGAAGGTAGTTTTGGGTCAGTGTCCATCTGATTTCATTTAACCATTAAATGTAGTACAGATTCCTAGACACCATTGCTTTTTTCTTTCTTATTCCGTATCAGAAGTAAATTTATTCATGCTATTGAAGCATAAGTTCTCCAATATTTTATATAATCCCAGAAGCAAAAAATGGGTAACACATGTATATAAAAGAAGCTAGTATAAATCCTATAAAGAGTGAATGTGTTTTTGAATGTGTTTTTCTTTGTACCTGTGGCAATTTCCTTTTGCAGCTAGTATACTTTCTTGAAATGGCATGAGGAAATCTTCACCTCTAAAAAGCTTTCCTAATTTCTGGTGCTAAGAACAGTGCTTCTAAGTAACCGCAAAGAATCCAAGTTTCGAGCTGGTTAGGTGTCTGCACTCAAATTCCAACCCATCCTGTATTTTTAAATAGTCTTCATTCTTTCCAAGTTTATATTGAATAGTTTATGTTCCAGTATGGGTAAACCTAGTTCTTCTATGACCTTAAAAGTTTGTGTATTTGTTTTTGACATTTGTTAGGCCCCTGAGCTCTTTACTACAGAAAAAGCTTGGAAAGCTTTGGAGATTGCAGAAAAAAAGTTGCTTGGTCCCCTTGGCATGAAAACTTTGGATCCAGAGTAAGTTGGAATATAAGTATTTAAAATGTTGACATTATATTGAATCAACCATAATTTGCTTATCAATAAATTCCTTAAAATTGCATTCAAACTGATTTCATTTAGTTCAGTATTTTAAGTACAGTGCCCTTGAGTTTAGCCTACGTTTAATAATGAGTAATGATTTTTTTTCTAGCAACTAAGGATTTAACTCTATCCTCACCTTACCACCACCCCGTTCCTTCCTTTCCATGTAATTTTACCACTATTTTTATTTAAACTAATAGTTTTGTTTTTATTTTATATTTATTTGTATATTTTCTTTTCAACTTTTGTTCTTTCTTGAGTTTCTAATAACCTTTTTTTTTCCTTTGACTGTTTTTCTTTAAAATACTTTTCATCAAATTGTTTTCTATATCAATATAAGACAGAACCTTATGTCTACAGAACCTTTGTAGGTCTTCTAACTTACTCTGTATACTCATTTTAAGTCTTGAGATGCAAAATTTTCTATGCATGTACTTAACCTGAATTCTGAGGTGACCTCCACATTTTCAGAAGAATTTAGAACCACTGCTCAAAAGAAAAACCCATAAATATTACTTGTGTGTCAAGTTCTATCTGTCACACTGAAAGTAATAATTTAGTTAAACCCACTATAGATCACTATCTTTTTATTATCTATTGCAATTCTTTGTTTCATTTCTAAGTGTGTATAAATTTTGTGTATATTCAGTTACTATTTGTAATCTGATAATGTACCAATTTTAACAAGTTTTAAAATAACTTCATGGAGAAATTTTAAAAGCAGCCTTTCCAATATATAATAATTCATAAAAGTTTATAGTGTTTACTAATTCAAATTTTTCTGTGTATATTTTAATCATTACATTAGAGATCTAATGAAATAATTGACTGTAAACTAGTCAGTATTTAGTGTTAGGCTAACTTACTGAAGGCAAGATACATGAACACTTTTTTTTTTTTAGCCAGTAAATTTTTGTTAATTATTCCCTAGTACATTAGTCATGCTTCAGGTAACAGTGTTTTTTGATCAACAGCATATATGGTGGTGATCCCAGAAATGCTGTACCTTATAGCCTAAGTGTATAATAGATTATAACTTCCAGGTTTGTAGATTTATACTCCAGGATGTTCATCCAATAACAAAAATCTCCTAAGGACACATTTTTAGACTATATCCCCATCATTAAGCAATGCATGACTGTGTTAAGTTCCTCTGAACTCAGAGTATACTAATTTTAAGGTTTAATAAATGAGTTTATTCTGTGGATTAGACGACAAAATAATTTGAATATTTCTCTTTTGCTATTGAGAAGATTTTCTAATGTTTTCTATATAATGTCTGATCTCTTTTTTAACCTAAATTTTAATCATTTTGCAGTGATATGGTTTACTGTGGAATTTATGACAATGCCTTAGACAATGACAACTACAATCTTGCTAAAGGTTTCAATTATCACCAAGGACCTGTAAGAATTTTATTTTTCTAAGTTTTCAGATAAAGTTATTTTTCAAATAATTTTAAATATTTACAGCTTTTTTTCACTGAATCATCTTTTTAGGAGTGGCTGTGGCCCATTGGGTATTTTCTTCGAGCAAAATTATATTTTTCCAAATTGATGGGTCCAGAGACTAATGCAAAGACCATGTTGTTGGTTAAAAATGTTCTTTCCCGACATTATGTCCATCTTGAGAGGTAAGTTGTAAGGGACATGTGATTTTTATAAGCAGTGTCAATTTATTAGATATTAAATAAATGACACTTCCTTAAAATTCATTTCTGTTTTCTCCCAGTAACCCAAAGAAATGTGAAAGCTTTACTCTGTAACATAGTTTCTGTAATGTAATTTTCACCTTCCTTTAATTATTTTAGGTTATCATTTATTTTAATTTGAAGACTTGGTATTATGTGATTTTATATATGTGGAATTGTCCTTGAGTTTTAAAATCTAGCTGATATATTTTGATATTATTAGCAGTGATTTAAACTACAGCAATTTATTATCACACAGTTCTGAAGGCCAGGATCCTGAAAGTATTTTCAACAGAGTTAAAAAACCAATATATCAGAATTTGTGGAATACTGCTTATTTAGCACTAAGTAAAAAATTTATAGCACTAAGCACCTATTTAGAAAAGAAGAGTGCCTGTAAGTCAATGATCTCAGCAGCTACCTTAGGAACTAGAAAGAGATAAATACAGTAAATCAAAGGTAAGCAGAAGAAGAGAATAATAATGAATGCTTCTGAGAGATTCTGTTCTTTGTTGCCTCAAGTTCAATATCTTAAAAACTACCGCTCCTTCTGAAGGTGTGTGGGAAGGATCTCTAGCCAGCCCTCTTTCTAACTTCTGGTAGTTCCATGACTGTGTTTGGCAGCATAACCCCCATCTTCCCACGGCCTTTTCCCCACATGCATGTCTATGCCTAGATTTCCTCATTTTGTAAGGTCACCTATCATAATGAATTAGAGGCCCACCCTATTCCATTATGACTTCATTTTAACAAATTGTACTGCAACAGCCATCTATCCAAATTAATTCACATTATTAGGTATTGAGATTTAGGACTTTCATATTTGAATTGTGAGGGGGACATAATTCAGCTCTTTACAGACACCGTGATGCCTGACTTCAGCAATTTGACATTTTTCTCTGAAGTAGCTTGGCCACTTAGAAAAATAGGTTTTCTATATACTCCATTTCTTTTGTGGAGGTTTTTTAAATAGGGCACCTACCTGCTGTTACTATTAGTTATTATCCAAAATATTTCCATATTTTGCTAAGGGAGTTGTTTTTCCATTTTTATTATGAAATATTTGATACCTGTCAAGGTATATGTAATATGACCAAGAGTTGCAAAGCAAAATAATGAAACAAATGTGTTCCCCCAACACAACCTGAAAAATAAAAATCACAGAATTTGGTATTTAATTTTTTTTAATTAATGCTTCATACTTAGGGACTTAAGTATGAAATTAAGGATAAACTTAATAGCTAATAATGCTATGTTCTGATAGTGAGATCTAGAACAAATCACTAACCTCTATAAACCTTTCTTATCTACTTTCTAAATCAGAACGATTATGATATCCACCATATAGGCTCTCTGTGAGCATTAAATAATGCTATTAAATAATGTTATAAAAGCACATTAGAACATAACAAATGCACAATAAATTCTAACTGCATTCTATAGAATTAAAAATTGATGTAGAAATTCAGATTGTTTTTAATTTGCACTTTTTTCCTAGGCATAGTTCTTAGTGTTTCTTAATTTTTCATATTGGTTTTATAATTTTGTTAAGATCAAACATAATACATCTATATAATTACAATTTGAGTCATATAAACTTATTCCAAAAGGAATAAAACTAGTCTGACAAGATGTTTTTCTCTACATTGGTGTATTACTTGGAATGGCAATTTCTTCTGTGTTATTATTACATAAAGGAATCCCTTTGTATTTCAAAGTCTTAAATCACAAAGATTGAATATCAATGAGTATATATTTTTAGGACATCCTTTTTATTTTGTAGCAAACAACTAAATTATGACTTTTCAAAATTAGAAGTCAGAATCACCAGTTGTATTGACTGTTTTGTTAATCTAAACAGGACTGTGTTAGATTATATTTCATAAAATGTCTCTTCTTCCTTGAAGATCCCCCTGGAAAGGACTTCCAGAACTGACCAACGAGAATGGCCAATATTGTCCTTTCAGCTGTGAAACGCAAGCCTGGTCAATTAGTGCTATTCTTGAAACACTCTATGACTTATAGTTGGTTCATCGATATTTATTAAGTATACAATCACACATGTATTATGCAATCCAAGGTCATAATATAATGTATATGTGCTGCCGAAGCGAGCACTCATAATATAATGTAAATGCTTTATATGCACAGACTCTAGACATTTTTAAAATCTCATTCATATAATATAGATGCCCAATTATGAGACTCTAAAAGCATTGATTTTCTTTTTTTTCTTAATGTACAGAAATAATTTTTGATTTGAATCCAAAAGAAAAAATTATCACCAATGGAACTTTTTTCTTTTGTGTTCCAGAAGTATTTCACATATCTAGAAATAAAGAATTTCAAATTCAGCATTTGAAAAAGAAAACTCATGTAATCTACTTGTACATAAGTAAAAATGAAATATAAGACTATAATAATGAAAGAAATTTAAAAGAATCTTTAAATTAGGGTATATATTTTCTTCAGGGACATACTAAATTGGCTGTCGTTAATTAATAGTCTCAACTTTTACTGCAGTATTCCTAGCATCTTTCACATTGCCTTCAACAAATATTAAATGGATATTGAATCATGGAAGTGTTCACCTACAATATATATTCATAAATGTAGCACAGGTGTTCATAATGTGCTTTTATTTTCTTCTATGATATATTAATATTTTTTAATATAATGAAAGCCAACATTATATTTAACATAATTTACTTGTGTTAATGATGCATAGGACAGTTTAAAAAAAAACACAAAGGATTAGGAGTTTATTTCCTTAAAACAGTTTTATAAAGTTAATCTTGAGTTCCAGTTTCCTATTATGAAATGTTTACATTTCATAATGCAAATTGTTGGGCATATTTATGAGAACCTTAATTTTAAAATACTGTTTAATTTTCTAAAATTTACAACTATTTTTAGTTTCTGTGTAAAAGTATTAGTAGATCATAGTAGATTCTGGTTTCCTATTAATAAAACCCACATGGAAAAGTTTAACATTAAGAACAATCTTTATATAATAAATATATATACATGAATTCAGCAGTTTCTTAAATTCAGTAAAATTATTCAAAAAGGTTTTCATGTTATTTTAAGACACTTCATTCTGAAAAAGTAATAAAAAGAAAAAGATTTATAACATTTATATGAGTTGACACTTTTAAATAGTTCTTATTTTTAGATGAAATTGTTTTTTACACTTCTACTGTTTTTTGTCTCATGAAAACACTTAAATTGGTTCACTTTACTTTTAGTTGAAAGGAAATAGTTGCAAAAATCCTTTCTTTACTATTTAATGTTACTCACTAGTATGTTTATAGTTAATAAAATGATGGTACATCAACATTTTTCTCAGTTAGAGATCACATACCCAACTATTAAGAAAAATAAAGAAGAAAAGTAAACTAAAAAGGTCTGGCAAGCAAAAATATGTTAATGGTTCAGATGTCAAATATCCATGCTTAAAAGCTCATTCAATTTACCATAAGTTGACTTGCACACCCTTTGAAAAGTTGATTCTACTAATAAAGCAGTTTCAACTAGCTTGCTTTATTCGTTTCTCAAATCAAAACAGATTAAATCCCACGAATTCAAGGAGAGTTGTGATAGTAATCTGACCACTATAGTAAACACATTGATGTCCAAGTTTTCCTTTTTCCTTCATTGCAGTGTGTATAAGCCTGTGTAGTTAAAAAGAATGACCTTCCTTGAGAGAGAGAACCATTGGTCATCAAGGTTTTATGTAGTTATGTTGCTATGCTTTAACTTCTGTATTAAAGGTGGTAAGAAACGTGACTGAAAACCAGCACATTTAACAAGAGAAAGAAGTAGTGGCTGACAAATGCAATTAGGTGGGTGGTTGGATGGATGAATAGTTGATAGATAGATAGATAGATAGATAGATAGATAGATAGATAGATAGATAGATAGATAGAGTTGAACTTGCCATAATGTGTTATCTATAATAGAGCAACTACCCACCTCAGTAATTTTTTAGAATATCATGTTGTACTAGAAAATGAAGTGGTTCATATTCCTAATAAGGAATAGTGATGAAAGAATATTGTTATAATCTGCATGGTCTATGATAAAGCTTAAGAAGGCATGTTACACATTATTCATCAGAGGTAGGTTAAAAACATAGTTTTAGAGTTAGAGGGTTAAGTGTCATTTAATTAAAGAACATTCAAAGAATGCTTCATTCCTGAGTGATGTTGGATGAGGTATCCCTATATTACATTTCAATAATGATTCTGTGCCTTGCTTCTTCACTAATCATAATCAATCTTACTCTAACATGAGAAGTAAGCTTGCCATTTTAACTGGTATGCTATGTTAATTTAATAAATTTTAAAGATAATACAGAAAACATGAGGCCTGTCATCACCGTGGAATATTACAACTTATGTGGATTGTCATCCATTTCTTTTATGTCTTCAACTGCTCTATCTAGTGAGCAAATGTTATTTTATTGTCTGTGTGCCAAGAAAATAAAAATCTTTCTTAAATGTCTATGGTTTGTTCCTGTATCATTATTTACCAATTAACTGATTTGTCCACGATGATGATCACCCTTTATTCAGGGCTTCCTTAATTTGGGTGCTTATCTCTGATGACATAAGGAGGTAAAGAGGAAGAAGAGGGCCTCCCCTGGTGGCGCAACGGTTGAGCGCTGGGCTGCAAAGCTGCCCGCAGCCTCTACAGTGCCCTTTCGATCCCCAGTCACCAGGCGAGGGTCCCACATGGCACACAGACCTCTCCTGCCGTGCTCACTGCTTCCCTCAGCAGTGTACCTCGGTCAGTCTGTTGTGCTCTCACCCTCCCGCGCTTCTGCCTGTACCCAGTGCTTGTATAAATAAATAAATCCTCGCAGACCAGCACTCAACCGCTGTGCCACCATCTCCCCTGGTATTTTTTAAAACTTCTTTTTTAAGAAAAAGACTATTGTTATTGCTGTACCAATAGACTGAACCATGATTTAGAAGGCATGGTAACATTTTTTTTTTAAAGACTGTATTTATGCATACAAGAGCTGGGGTACAGGCCAGAGATGTGGGAGGTGAGAGGATTCACCAGAGACAGAGCGGGGAACAGAACAGGCAGATCGACTGAAATACACTGCTGAGGGGAGCAGCGGGCGAGACAGGAGAGGTCTGCTTCGCCATGTGGGTTGCTCTCTGGCCAGCCGGGGATCCAATTCGTGCTGCAGAGGCTACGGACAGCTTCATAGTGCAGTGCTTAACCCTTAGCACCACCAGGGAGGCCCCAAGGCCTGGTAACATTAATACCCACCATCAAGAAAATAAACAAAGATATCTGAAATGGCTTTACAGTGATGTGATGCCTTAGTAAGTTAGGGACATGGACTGCTCATGAACTGCTTTCTCATTTCACATTCTTCACAAACTTTTCTCCTTTCTTTTTTTTTTAAGATTCATTTATTTATGCATACAAAAGCTGGGGTACAGGCCAGTGATGCAGAGGGAGACAGGATTCACCAGAGACAGAGTGGGGAGCAGAACAGGCAGACTGACTGAAATACATTGCTAAGGGGAGCAGCGGGCAAGACAGGAGAGGTCTGCTTCACCATATGGGTTTCTCTCTGACCGGCCAGGCATCAAACTTGTGCTGCAGAGGCTGAGAGTTGCTTCATAGTGTGGTGCTTAACCCCTTGCTCCACCAGGGAGGCCCTTTCTTCTTTCTTGATGGAGGCCTTCAGCTCAGGAATGGCCTTTGTTGTCATCTTCTCTTAAAAGGGGGAAACTGCCCATATCAAGTTTCTTCTCCAGCCCTTCATCCCCAGAAGCAGTGGTGTAGAAAAGTAGGCACAGTCTGGTGGCGCAGCGGGTTGAGTGCAGCACTGTGAAGCTGTCCGCACGCAGCCTCTGCAGCACTGGTTCAATTCCTGTCCAGCCAGGGAGATACCCACATGGTGCAGCAGACCTCTCCTGCCTTGCCCGCTTCTCCCCTCAGCAGTATATTTCGGTCCGTCTGCCTGTTCTGCTCCCCGCTCTGTCTCTGGTGAATTCTCTCACGCTCCTGCACCTCTGACCTGTACCCCAGCTCTTGTATGCATAAATAAATAAGTCTTAAAAAAAAAAAAAAGTAGGCACAATGTTCCTCAGGACTTCACAAAGGAACATTCGACAACTCATTGACTTCTTTGCATCATTCATTGCATCCACAAAGAAGAGGACAAACTTGGCTCCAGCATAGGCCATGGACAGGTGGAAGAGCCTGCTCCAGCTTTTCCTTGACCTTGGTTGTGCACTAAGTCACCTTGGTTGTGCCCCAGGAGATTGGGGGGATACTGGTCTTCCTAGCATCACTGCCAGTGATAGGAACATTGACTGGAGCTGGAAACAAGCCCTTCAGCTCTGCAACAAAAATGTTGGCTCCGACAATGAGCAAAAATGTTGGCTCCCACGCCCCAAGATTTCATTGGGGCTCTATACTCCATGTTTCTTGAAAACTTTTGTTGTGTTTGGGATGGTGAAGTTGGCGGATTTGCAGGCAAGAGGAGAGGAGGAAACATCACCAGGGGGCAGCGTGTGTCCAGCTCACTTCCCTGACCCTCTCCAGCCCTCTCTGGCACGTGTGCTTAGTTGAATGGTTCTCCAGGTGGAACCAACATTTAGTCTAACTCGAGCCTTTGCCAGCAGAAATTAGAGCATATGGGCTTTAAATTTCTACTCTAACTTTATAGTAACTTTTAACGAAAATTATACTATAAAATATGGACGAATATTTTCTCATAATGTAACTTTCCTTTTGGACCAATATTGAGCATAATCATTTCTATTCAGGCTTGTTAACCTTCATATAAGCCTTTCCAAATATTCCCAGTCAAACTTCCCAATCATTTTATTGGATTAGCAAATAATTCCTTTTGCCATGAGGTAATTTAGTCTAAAAGAAATAAAATTTTTTTAAACAAACCACCCAGTAAAATATGGTGCCAATTAGGAAAATGTTTTCTGAAATTATCAATCCTTCCTTTACCATTATTGATGTTATAGTGATTTTTCTAATCCTCATTAATCTCTTTATCAGTAACATCAAGTGTGCATCTTTATAGGCAAGAAATCCCTTATTGTGTTAATCATTTCCTATATATCACATTATGTGGTACAACTTAAACTTAGAAAAAATGAAGGAACCAAGACCAAAACCCAAAATTAAATACCTATTAGTTCAACAATAAATGAGATTGAAATTTTAACTCAGGAGAAAATTGAAGGTTTTTTTAAATCAATAAAGAGAAAATAGTAATAATCTGGGAGGAAAAAAAAACAAACACCATTGAATAAAACCTCTTTGGAGAACAATGTCTATTATTAAGAGGCAAAGTATTTCTGTGTAGAAAATTTGGATCAGAAAAATGACATTCCCACTGTTCTCAAATAATTTCCTGTAGTTAAGGGTGGGTAGGAAATCAAGTAAAAGGAATGTGGGTTACTTTCCTTGTAAAATACTATGAAGCTGGAGGGGTTGAATGGGAGACTATTCTCAAGATTTTCTAAAACATCTAAACCATCTGAAGAACTTTATCACGTTAATCTCTTCCCTATTGTTAACAAAGTAACTCAATCATTTTATACTTTTCTAACAGTCAATTTTGGAAGGGGGTGAGCAACTCAGATCCAAAGGACGCATTATCTCAGCACAGTTTTGCATTAGAAGTCGGTGAGAGGGCCTACCCTGGTGACGCAGTGGTTGAGTGCTGGGTTGCAAGGCTGCCCACAGCGTCTGCAGCACCAGTTCGATCCCCAGCCATCAGCGAGGGTCCCACAAAAAAAAAAAAAAAAAAAAAAAAAAAAGCTGTGAAAAAGTTGCAGAGGGAGTAATTTACAGTCAGATTTGTTTTGCAAGCAGGGAAGTCTCGGTTGGTTAGCTAAACAATGTGTTTTCTTCTCTGTGGATACTTAGTATAATAGGGCTTACCAACAGGCTTTATATAGACATGTAAGAGGAGAGATATTATAGAAATTGGCTTGTGTAGTTATGGAAGTAGAGAAGCCCCACATTCTACTGCCAAGAAGTTGGAGAGCCAGAAAAACTGGTGGTGTGGTTCAGTCTAACACCAAAAAGGCCTGATACTCAGCGGGACAATGTGCCCTTCTGAGACCAAAGTCCAAAGAAGCAGGAGTTCCAGTGTCTCAGAACAGGACAAGATGGAACCGTCATCTCAAGAAGAGATGTCTTTTTGTTCTACTGGGCCCACCCCGGGGTGAATGACACCCACAGGCCCAGCCACTTTGGGGAGGGCCCTCTATTTTAACCAGTTCACCAATTCAAATGATAATCTCTTTTGAAACACCCTCACAAAAACCCCCAGAAAGGTTTTACCTCAGCCCAGTCAAGTTGACACATAAAATCTACCATTGTAGCTGGATCCCTTCCATTTTGCAGCAAGAACTCCCCTAGACCAAAAACTAGAAATCATCAGATTAAATTTTTATGACCCTTTGCACTCCCTTCTCCCTCTTTATAGTCTACTCCAACTACATTTCCAGAAATTTGGAAAAACTGATTGTGTTACTTCCCTAATAAAAATTCTCTAGGGCTCCCTGGTGGCCTAGGAGTTAAATCTCAGTGCTTATCACCTCTATGGCCTGATTTCAATTCCCAGTCAGGGAGCTAATCCACAAATGACACAGCAGACTTCTCCTGTGTCACCAGCTGCTCCCTTTAGCAATGTATTTCATTCAATAAATCCACCTGTTCTGCTCCCCACTCTGTCTCTGGTGAATCCTCTCACCTCCCTCACCTCTGGCCTATGCCCCAGTTCTTCTACACAAAAGTAAAAAATAATAATAATAAAATTAAAATTAAAAAAAATTATCTGTAGCCTTCTGAGGTTGATAGTAGCATTGGGGGGAAATCAATAACAACAACAAAAAAAATCTGATTGCTGAGAAACACCCTGCTGGAAAAGTCAAACACCTTGACTCAGGCTCCCAGATCCTCCTTGGATCTGGAAATGGGAAGCCCCCACATGTTCCTCACACTCCTTCCCCCCTTATATAATCAAGCACTCCTACCGTTGGGTCATTTAAGGAGCCACTTTACTGGGGAGCTGGTCCTATTGTAACAGGGTGGTGCCCAGGAAAAGGGAGGGTTCCAGATTTCCTGCCCCACCCAAGGGAGGGTGGAGCTGAGCAGGGAGAGAAGAGGCTGCAGAGGAGACTGAGGAAGGAAGGAAGCAGGATGGAGCCAGAAGGAGACCTGGAGGAGGCACATGGAGCAGAGAGACACGTGAAGAAACTGCGCTTGCCTTTTGGTCGTGGACTGGTTGATACAGATGCGGGTGAGAGGCCAGTGGGGAGGTGACAATGGCGGTTTTTGTCTTGATTTTGATTTTGCTCTTTTCCTTCCAGACTTGTCTGGCTGTTTCTGACCCTTTTCTGTGGGTACCCACTGGCAGGTGCTTTAGACTTGTGGCACACTTTGGGGCCTTGCTCTGGGCCAATCCCATTTGGATGGATTTTTACCCATTTGGGGACGGGTAACTTTGGGTGCTTGATTTACAAACTATAT